TCATTCAATCTGCAATTATTTTACCCCCTGCATTTATAAAAAGCGAAAAACGTTATTGTGGCTATAAGTAATGCTTTTTGCATTAAAATAATTACAAATTCCTTAAACGCGTGTTTTTTTAGGTGTAGAATGCGGCGCGGGCATGTTGTTTGGCTTTGGTGCTGGTGCAATTGTGTTGGGAGAGGTAGAGTTTAGGTGGGGGAAAAAATTTGCGGTCCAGACTTTTTTGGTCAGGGCGTGGGCGCTATGGGCCTGAGGCAGAGAGTGGGCCCAGCCGTCGATGCCGTGGATAGCAGAGATGGCAGCATGGAAAACTCCACCTCCATCCTGCGCCGGAGCACCTCTTTCCCGTTTTGGTAATTACATGCACGCAGGAACGACGCCGGGCATATCCAACGAAGGAGCGAAGGGTCCAAGCTCGAGATTTCCCTTCTACTTCTTCCATACCCGCTCTGGTAAGTAATTTCGTCTCTTTTTTTTCCTGATATCATCATCTGCACTGGCAAACTCTGGCTATGGTAGGTTGCAGGAAAGCCTGGAGCAGCCTAGCAGCCTGCCAAGGCACCCTATTGGCTCCAGCGCGAGGGATCCTGAGCTGGAGCCATTTGACATGACAGACACTAGGGCTGAAAGCAAGGCTCTCTGCTCTGTCCTGGTGCCTGGACATTGGTGTCGCGCATGGCTCTCGTAACCCGCCTTAGCCATGGCCGGGATGATATTTCTTCGCTTTGCTCCCTCTCTTACCCGTTCCTGATTTGAACATAAAGAACCCAGCAACCCATCGGAATCTCATACTTGCCTACCGTCCATGATTAGTCCTCGAGCTCATTAGCATACTTATTTACCTATCGCATGCCCTTGCGCGAATCAGCCACGCAACTCCCACCATGAAGACGAGAAAGGCAGCTTCTGCCATGAAGAAGGGAAAGACAGATCCCGCCATGAAGAAGAGGAGAACAGGTCCCGCCAGGAAGAAGAGAAAGGTCATCACTCCGGCGGCCAGTGCCAACCCAAACTCGGATCAATGTTCCAGCGCAGACGAGGCACGCCATTCCCGCATCACTATTACCGACCTCCCATCTGAGGTGATTGTCATGATCGCCCGCCAGGTCGAGGCGCCGCATGATCTAGTCCAGTTGGCCGTGGCGCTCGGGCCCGAGCTAGAACAGCTCGTCCAACCTGAGATCTTCGCTGCGGATGTCATGAGGTATCTCGCCCATGCCCACGAAGGACCTGACGCCGGTATCCCTGCGATCTTGCCGGAAAAGGATACGAACAAGCCATCAGCGCTCATGTATGGAGCAAAGAGCAGGAAGCCCCACATCTGCCATCTGGCCCTCGACGCCTTCGAACGTGTCCAGAAGCGCCATCCACAGTGGCGGCTCGTGAACTACCTCCACGATCTCCCCATCTCGGATCTCCCCATCTCGAATGTCTTGGAAAAGGCAGAGACTCAGACATCCATCCGGACATGTGTACGCCGTGGCTTTCTGGGCGTCGTCAAGCGACTCCTGGAGCTGGCCAGCGCCCATGGGTTACCACTACACCACGAGGCCGTGTCGGCTCCACCACGGGCAATGGACGTCAAAGCCAATTACATGGGCCTAGTCCATCTTTGGAGGTCCATGCTCCCTTCGAACAGTCCTCTCAGCAACGCCATCCCCTATAGCCGTCAATTGGACGACGCGGCTGTTGATGCCATCCTCTGCGGCAGGCACCTGACCAGCCTGGTTGTCGACGCCATCATCTACTGCCAAGACGAGGTCTTGGAGTATCTAGTCATGCGGGGCGCCAGCGCTGTCGTGGGGATACCTTCTCCGCTGAACGCGATGCTCTGCACCGGCCGGATCGAAGTATTCCAGACTCTTTCGCTCGCCCGTGATTTCCAGGTCGCGATCAACACCTGGAAACCCGAGAGCCCCACGGAGCGCCAAGTGCATGATATAGCCACCTACCAGCCCCACCTGCCAAAGGACGAACTGAAGCTCTGTGATCAACAAGGGCATCTTTTCAAACTGATGATGATACACGGATACCCTCTATCGGCCACGAAGTTCGAGAATATCCTCACGAGCGACAAAGACCCTCTCCGCGCACGCGCCATTGCTGCTGTCGATGCTGATTGCACGGAATACTGGGGCTGCCGTGTGGTCGACGGGAAGCACCAGTTCTGGTCACAAATGCTTCGATTTCCCCTGGTGTTCTATAGAAATAACTATGCACCAAGAAGGTTTCTTGTCCGCTGGATCGAGGGCGCCTTGCCACATTGGGACGGCACGAAGGCCTGCAAATGTAACTTGCAACCCAATGGCCAGGGCAACCGGATCATGCGGACCCGCGAAGGCTTCTGGGAGATGATCAAGGCCTGTCTCGCTTGGGGGCTCATCTGTACGTTCTGGTTTTCGGGCGACCAGCCTTATTCCTTGGACGGTACCGGTCACCGCCTCACGTACAGAAATGACATCTCCCCGAATATGGGAACCAGGCAGACCATAGACGAAACCCGTGGCTGGATCGAGCTGGTGTGGAACGGTATGAAGAAGCTGGGGATGACCTATTCAGGAGAGGAGACGGCGGGACTCAAGAGCAGCTTCGCCTTCGAGCTCATGGAGCAGAGGCGCAGACAATTTACATACGGGCTGAAGTGCCCACACGAACCGCAGATGATGACGACGGCGCAATACGTCTGTGTCTTGCGCGCGGCGTTTGAATATAAACGTGGCAAGCTGGATCTTTACAAGAGGCTCAACGTGGAGGAGGAGGTTGGTGCTGAGAAGTTTTATGATTGGTAGGAAATGGCGAGACATACGGAGGGACACGGTACACGGGTGCCGCCATGGTAAATAGCGGACACTGACAAGATAGATATGTCTGTAACAATAGAGGTACAAGTTGGCGTTGTCAGAACCGCAGACTTTTCTCTGGATGGCATTCCTAGTACCGTCACAGGCACCTTTCCTACGTTTGAGTTCGTAGAAGCAGCCAGCACGCACCCCAAAGATATTATGGGAAGGTTTTCTGCCTTCGCGTAGGGAACGGAGCGATCAGGCAGTGCTGCCGGAAGCTTTATCTCGGTGTAGCCAACCATGTTTTTGACACTCCTGGCCAATGCTACGGCTCGAATGTCTAAACTTTCTGAATCTTTGCTCTAATCAGCTCACCATAAGCGAAGATTCCCTGGTCTTATCAGGCTGCCTTGGCTCACCCAGAATACCGGGCCTAGTGGTTATGCCTACTGCGGCGGCTGCGGGTGGCTGTTCTCAGTCGACTGACCCAGGTGATTAGGTAGATAGGAAGGTAGGTAGCTAGCTAAGTATTGAGCAGACCAGAAACAATAGATCTGTGACTTATGGCATCCCCGAGAAGTTAGTGTCTAGACGAGACCGCTGCTCCGCGCCACGCGTCTATCGCACTTGCATCCTCAAGTGTTGGGCGCGTTGAGGAATATCACATGTCTTCCCGGTATGGAAAGCTGCCTGGCCACTACCAGCTTGATTATGCTGCTGTCCTGTTCTAAACTAAACGTCGGGGTCGGAATTTTCCCGTTGTCGACGACGGACCAACCGGGTATCAAGCCCTACAACCCTGGAGGACATGTGGCAAGAAACAGAAAGAGAGGCGACAGCTACGCAGGTTATCCATGTGTCCCCGCTCACGGGTTGATATCAGAGTATTTAGGTTGGCAATGCCTCGCTAGGGAACGGTGTTTGATAGCGCTTAGCCTGGGATGCCAGCCTCGAACACGCACTTGCTAGAGCTATATGGCCTTTGAGTGACCGCTCTGCCGCCGAAGCATCCCGTCTTCCCTTCTCAAAGCGGCTAGGCTACTCAGTTTCGATTGGCCATCACCACACAATGTCACATCGAATCAAGCAGTGATAATGATAGGCGTGCGGAGAACGCCTGTGCCGCAGAGGAAATCTGGTCTCCAGGAGTAGATGATGCACATGACACGTCCTACCATATTGCCAATGGTGAGGTCACCGAGGCAAATTGGTGTTGCGCCCGGCAGGACGGCGAGGAACGGTTGAGGGGGTGGTGATCGTGCTCTCCAAGCGGTCAATCTATTACAGAACAAGACGCTAAAACCCCGGGGTATGGCAAGGTAAAAATAGGTTGGCGTACAAATCTCGTAGGAGAAAACGCAGGGTAGAAAAAAGGAGAAAAGGAAGGTACAGATTAGGAAATGGACAAACCATGAAAGGTAAAAGCAAAAAGAAAGCATTCGAAAAGGGGAATGAAAAGCAAAGGGGACAGCAAACCTCTAGAGTAACGAATCTCTATTCAGCCTGGTCCGCTCCGCCAGCCAGCCAATCGCTCACGCCACCGATGGTCGGCAGCCTTGACCTTTCCAACGGCACTCCGGGCATGGGACGCCGAAGCAGCCGATCCAGGCTGGCGTAGCCGCCCAAGATCAAATAGGACAAGATCCGCGGCGGTTGCTTCTTTTGATCCGCCGGCAGATGGATGCCGAACGTCAATCAACAACCACCACCCCCAGTACGGATTGCGTTCTTGATGGGCCGCTAGCGCGAAAAAGGAGAAAGAGCGAAAATGGTGATGCGTCCTCCTTTTCAGGGTCCTGATTGGCCTCGCCGCGTTCACCTCCTGTGGAACTCCCATAACTCGCCCGCCAAGAGGCAAGCCAAAACCCCCCCCCCCAAAAACCGTGGGGCGTAAAGGAGAACAAGCTCGGCCGCCCCCCCAAAGATGTGTCACGGTGAGAGAGCAAGCTGAACGCGAGGGGCGAATTGGCAGTGGAGGCAAAAGAAGAAAGTATGGTATTGGCCGACATTGGAGACCCCAAGTTGTCGTTTTGGGTCAGGAACTCAGGGGTCAAAGGGGTTACGCGGAAGGCCGCAGGCACGAAAGAGACAGGAGACCACAGGGATATCGAATGTCACGGGAAATACGAGACGAGACGAAGGGAAGTGAGCGTGTGGCAGCCACCCGTCACAGTCAGTCAACGTGATGTTTCCTCTCCACTCGTGCACGCAAAGCAAATCCGTTTGGTGCGTCGGAAAATGCGAACATGCCCTTCTTCTCCTTCTTTCACTGTCTAGAGTTTTGAGACATTTCGGACGTTCTATCGGCCCTGCGAGGGCAGAGCACAGCCACGCTCCCCCGTTGGAGAGAGGGCCGATATCCGGGTCGAGTTGCACGTTTTTCTTGCGATGCGCGTCGGCCATCGAAACTGTTTTGACGGGTGTAACGAAAACGAGCGGCTCGGATGAGACTCCGCGTGTTTCTCCCTTTTCTTTTCTCTCCCTCCTCCGGTGGTTCGTTGCCAGCTTTGCCTGGCTTCCAATGAAAGGTCAAGCGAGGGTCCCACGTCCCAGGCAAGGGAGAGATGGCGCAAACGAGGCCAAGATAATGGGGTGGCGAGGACAGAAGCAAGGGGCTGACGAGAGGAAAGAGAAAAAAAAAAAAGCAAAGAGGTAGCCGAGGCAAGGCAGTTCAGTGACCTGTCAGCCACTGCGCCCTTTCCTCATCGGGCGACTCAACCCATGTACACCCTCCCGGCTGGCCATCCGGGCGGGGAGTGTTGCGCTTGTGCGCCTGTGTGTGCCGGTCGGTCAATTTTAACGGCATCTATCAGGACTTGGCCGGACTCGGTGCACTTATGCCCGTTTAGTGCGTTGGGGAAAGTTTTTTCTCTTTGGTTTTACCCTTGCGAGGAGAGGACACGAGGAACTGAGACAACCCGTCTCGCCATCTAAATGGAAGGGGCATGACGGAGGAAAAAGGAACTAGAGCCGGAAGGAGAAGGTATGTGCCAAAGGGCGGAGGGGGCGAATCTAGAAGGTTGGCAAATAAACCAAACAACAAGGATGGTTAAAACACCATATCGTAGTGTCCTTCTACATATTTTTCTGCTCTAGTGGTTTCATCGCTTGGTGGCTGCTCGGGGCCACATCTTGGCCCAGCCACCTGGGGAGACAGACCAACCGAAGCAGACACCACTGGACGAGCCGTCTGGCCGCCGCGTTCGCTAGATAGTACGACGCCATTGGACGGGAGCCCAACATATGCGGCTCGTGTCACGTCAACGGAGGCTAGGCTGACTGGCTCGCGATGCAGCACGGCCGTGGTAGAGATTAAGGAGAGACGGGATGGGAGGCGGGAGAGGCGGGTTGATTACTTTGACCGAGGATTTCCCAGGCAAGGCCACAGACAGGAAAAAAAAAACGGCTGGGCAGTCGCTCCCGCCGGATCGCAGCGGCGTTCTCCCGGGTGTGGGCGGTCGGGAGGCTACGACAGCCACCTACCTAAGATATTGATGACTGCGAAGTGTCTGTGCGCGAGCTGAAGTCCGGGCCTCGAGAGGCCATTCTCGTCCTGGACCCTCTCTCCGGAGGGGGCGACGGCAGCAACGTCCAGTCCGCGGGGTGGTGCAGCCCGTCTCCGTAAAGGTGCGTCTCAGCTGGGGCTTGGCTGCATCCGCCACCATGCACCCAAAGCCCGGAATATGGGGTGGGCTCGCGACAGGATCGGGAATAGAGACAGACGCAGGAAGGAAGGATGGCTGCTTTGCTTTCGCACGAAGCCCAGATGTCTGTTTTCCCCCTCCGCACGGGCTCGACCTAGCGAACGCCACGGGCGCCCCCTTCTGACTGAGAAGGGATTGGTGTCTCCCACACCGGCAGGCAGCAGAGAGGGATATCCTGGTTGCCATTCCGTGCCAGCTCAACGAATCCGCGTGCGAAGGACCATGGCGGTTGGAGGTCCTGGGCCGCGGAGGCGGGAGGCTGCGTTAGGCTGTGCATGATGTAGCAAGCACAGACCGGATCTTGTTTGCAAGGGATGGGGAGGCAAGGGATGGGGGCGGAGAGAGAAAAAGATGTGGCAGTTGGGGTTTGGTGGTGGTCTGTGATGATGGTGTTTTTTGCTTGCGTCTAATCCCTTCCCGACAACCACGAAACAGGCGCAGGCCATATCCCTTGCGTCTAGCACATGGGGAATGACGGCAAACCACGCTTCCTTCGAACGACAGGAGAGCTGAATAGTATGTTGGGTGAGATTTCGACCAAACCAGGAGTGATGAGGATCGGCGATTTGGAGGGAGAAACCATTTGGCTGCTGAAAGCTATCGAGGCATCGCCAGCAAACTCGGCCATGCTGTTGCTGCGTCTAGATGGTGCCAATACTCTCGCGCTCGAGCCCTGGATCCTGGACGGCTACACAGTAGTTCGGGTGATCGCCCGGGTCAGGGGGGACATTTCCGTGCGGCAGAAAATAAAAACAGGAAAACATGAAAACATTGGTATCAAAAAGAAAGGAGCAAGATGTTGAGATCTGATATCGGGCTTCTTGGTGCTGCAGGTTTGGCAGGTGCTGAATCTAGGTCGACCTGTCGGATGACAGCCCAGCCGTGACGGCAAGCTGTGACGGTGCGGCGAATCAGGACACAGGGAGCCGTCAGCTGCAGTGGCAGGCTGTCCGCCTACTGACGTCGATGATGCATCCTCTCTCAGGGGCCGCCATCGAAATGCAAGAGGTCGGGGCCAAGGCCCAGTCCCATCGGGTCGGGACATTCTGGCTGGCCAAGCTCGAGGAATCCTGCAGGGGGACAGTCCCAGCAGCCCAGCAACCAATCGATCTTTGTCACAATGAAACCCTCGATTTCGTGCACACAGACCTTTTTCCTGGGTTCCACAACCGCCTGAAAAAAAAAGCAAATCGCCGCGGGCGCTGATTGGGGCGCGGCCAAATTGCGCTGCGAGACCCACGGCACTCATCGAGCCTTTTTTTTTTTTTATCTGTGCCGGCTGGACAGCACAGCTTGTGCTGAGGCCCCAGATACCGCTTCTATAGCATGGAGCGTGGACGGCGTCTGTCGGGTGGGCACTTGCGCGAAACTCTGCCGGATTCCAGGCGCCGGTGACGAGGCCAGGCCCCTCCCTCCCCGCTGGGGGGGAGCACGAGAAGTGGAGGATCGGAGAGAGCTAGATTCGGGCTGTAGTTCGCGACTGGACAAGCCGGGCTTGGGTGGGTGGGCTGGTTACTGTAGTTGGTCCTGTGCTTGCGGCATAAAGCTCTCATTGACAGTAAAAAAAAAGAATAAGTGAGGGGCAACTGTGATGCAGTAGGGATGCCGGTTCCGCAAACGGGCAGGTGATGCAAGCAACAGACGATTCTCAGTGAGTCGTAGCCGCTGCCCTCGTGCGTTCCCCTCCCTTCGATGTGACAATGCACACATGAATCCATCGCGAGCTCTTGTTTGTGGCCGGGGCCCCTGTCTGCTGGGGAGGGGCGGAAGCAAGCAAGATCCAACCAGGCGCCTCCTCTCCCTGTCTGCCCTGGTCGCCAAACCCTGGTTGAGCCGTTGCCCCCAAAGGCCGCCTCTTTGCCTGCCGTCGACGACAGCGCGGCTCGATGGTGGAGGATGACGACTTTTTTTATTTTATTTTATTTTATTCTGGACGCTCGTTTGCTTGCAGCAAGGCGTGTGTCGCTCTTCTTTCTAGCGCCAGCTAGCGTGCCAGCCGGGCAGGTCCAGCTTGATAAAGCCATGATTGGCAGTCTCATTCCCGAACCGTCGGCCGAGATCTGACGTTGGACGATTGGCCGGCTGAAAGCATCGAAAGATGGTAGATCCGTATCAATGAAGTGGCCGCTGGTTGCCATGTAGAGCCCGATAATGAAATGGCAGAGGCCGACTTGACAGCGAGGGCTCGACATTGGAAATTTCAGATGTCGTAATTCATTCATTCGCTCAACTCGATCCATTTCTTCTGCGCTGCACAGTTCAAGCAGAGCACGCCAGACACTGTCTCGAGCTCTGAGCAAGCAACGCAACACCGCCACGCAGAGTCAAGGGCCAGCCCATCGAACCTGGAAACCATGGTCCGAGGTCTCCACTAGATATGGGGCTTCTCTCCCCGCCGGGGAGCCTCACACAAACACGCCGGGCGTGCTAGGCTAAACTTGGAGTTCCCCTCGCCCTCCCTCGCCCTCGATGGTGGCTGCACCGAAGCATTGGGCAAGCTGCTGAGCAGGGTCTGGCCAATCCTCCAAGGCAGGCTACAGGGCCGAAACGAGGGAACCACCCTTTTCTTTTCTTTTTCTTTGCTCGCCGATCATATGTCCGTGCGTGTGCTACCATCCGAGGTAGGGGTAGCGGTTCTGTCATTTTATGGAGAAAAATCAGCCGGGTCGAAGAAAAAACAAAAAAATAAAACAAAGCAAGTATGGTTCTGCTGTCGTTACTGCTGCTGCTACCGCTGCTACCGGCTGGGTTCTGGGGGCGAGAATATCGATCTCATTCCAATCTGGCGCAGCTCGGGTCTGCCAGAAATGGCCCGGCAAAGAGAGGTTGCACTCGTATTCTATGGTTCGCTGCTCCTATAGGTGACCAGCACTTTTGCAGGTGGCCATCCAGGCTGTAAGTTTGGTCCAGTAAAACCCTCCATTAAAGCACGTCAAACTTCACCAAACAAGTTGCGGAGGGGGTATATGGAATGGAGGAGGGAGAAGAACATGCACATGCTGCAGCAACAGCAGTCCGCCTTTAATCCACCGTACCTCCCGTCTGGCCAGCCTGCGTCCGTTCGACGCAAACTTAGCCGTGCGCCTGCCCCAAGAGCGAGCTGCTAGGGCAGAGTCCGGCGCGGCTGCCAGCTGGAGCACGCTCTCCGCGTATGTTTTCGGAAGGACCCTCCCTGTCACCACTCCAAAAAGTGACTTGTCTTTCTTTCGTCTCTGCACGCCCATCCCGCCAGATTTGCCTCCACCCTTCGTCGGGCCCATCCTCATTGCTTCTTGCCCGTTAGTCCAAGCCCAGACCCTTCAGCACCCCATCAAATCGGGTTGCCCCGTCCGGAAAGAAAGCAGAGACGCTGCCTTGCATCACTGTCTGGCTCCGAGGACTCCTGGCTCCTCCAGCTGCTCCTTCCTCCTCGCCTCGGTGCCCGGCCAGGTTCTCCACCCGCCAACCGAGATCAGATCCATCCGGTTTATAAGAGAAGCATCACACCCCTTCACCTTTGTGCGCCCACCGTCTTTCTGCCCCCACAACTTGGTCCTGCGCCCTTTCCCGAGTCTGACTCTTGCTTGACTGGGTAGGTGGCGGCGAGCCGAGCGCTTAAATCAACCCAACCGTCTCGCTTATTAGACGGCCGTCTGCCATCACTTACTCACTCTCCGCTCACCTGCCGAGCCTCGACCGGGGTGTTATTTGGAGCTGTGGGTTGCCCACTCCGCTCTCCGCCCTCTGCTCTCCGCCCGCTCTGGCAAGCCAGGGCAGAAATATCTTCCGCGTCTTTAAAGCCAGCCCGCCCTGCCCTGCAGCTCACCCACCCCCACCCGTCCACGTCGAGAAAAGGCCGCTGCCCTCCCAGATCGACCACAACCAGACAGACCTGGAAACACAAAATTTCTCACTGCCCTCTGTGTCCAGCCTGTGAGACAGGTACGAATATGCCTCCGGTTGCGCAAAGTGGCTTGGCCTGCGCCCCTTGACTCGACCTACACCCAACTTGGGTCCTGCCGCTGCTGTCCGACCGACGCGGAGCCGTCTGGATCCCACACCACGCCAAGCTGCTCGTCATTGCATACCCGCGCCTGCTTCCCGAGTACCGAGCCGACTTCACTCTCGCATCACGCCCGCTGGGCTCCACCCCTGCACCCTCTCACCATTCACCTTTGGCGCGTCCTCCGGACCTGCTACAAAAAACATGTTCGTCGGCCAGAACTCGAACCGGGTCGTTCCCCCGGATAATGGCCACACAATCACCGCCGCCATGAGCCACGGCATAGAGAAGCTGCTTGGCGGGCGCAAGTTTGGCTCTTTGCGGAAGCCCAAGCTCAGGTCGTCGGCGAGGGTGTCGTCTCTGCGGTCGTTGCGCCCAGGGCCAACCTATGACCTCGCTTCCACTCCCTTGATCGAGGAGACTGCCTCGGTTGCCGACGAGCACAGTTTGTTTCCTCAGCCCTCTTTCATACGACCAAAGAGCAACCGCATGGTCGCCAGAGACGAGGCTTCTCCCGCTAGCAAGGCATGTCCTCTACCCAGCAGCATCTCTGAGCCGGGTAAGAGCAACCGCTCAGCGAGGTCGTCACTCGGCTCCGACCATGCTTCCTACTCCATCCCTCGCCGCTCTTCTTCTCTCACCAAGAGAAGGGGCGGACCCTCGTCGCTCTCATCGCTTGTCCACTACGAGTTCACAACGCGCGAGAACAAGAATGCAGCCCGCTCCCTGTCCTCGCTGTGTGGCTCCCAACGTTCCATAAGCATCTCTCCTAGGTCACCAAAGTCGATGCGCGCCGAGCTTGACGCCGCCTTTAGTCGCCAAGCCGCCGTTATATCTGTTGGGGTTGACACCCCGCCGCCTTCTGACAGTGAGAGCCGCCCGCCCTCGTCATCGAACGGGACCTCAAGGTCGCTGTCTCTTGGCCAAGGCCCATCGACCCGGAGCCCCAGCCAGCCGACACCAGGGCCATCACCTGCTTTGGTCCCCATTCCAGACTCGGCGTTGCGGGCGCCAAGGAGCAGCGAAGATGCAAGCGATCGCCGTCCCAGTCTCCAGAGCCTGCTTCAACCACAAACGCCCTCGATAGAGACTGCAGACTTTTCCGTTGTTTTCGATCCGATTCTGCAGGAGCCTGATCTCGGAGACTTTCTCGGCCTCAGTGACGACGATATTGCCGAGTCACGTCCGCCGTCACCTGGGCTCCCCGTTGAGGTAGCATCTCCAATAGTGAAGGGGTCGCTGGCACCAATCCACACTGGTGACTTGCCTGTCTCGCCGCGGACACCCTCGATTTCTTGCCGCCGAGATTCCCGGGATCCGCCCAGCCCTTGGGCCAAGCCGAGCCCAAACCTGCCGCCACCTACCCCAATGTCGGTCCGACGCATCTCGGCCAGGCTCTCGGCGACGGCCAACGAGGATCGTGCTGCTGCGATGGCCGCCTTTGAAACAGCCAGGATTGCCTCGAGGTATCAGTTCGACCTTATCTACGTCATCAACCTGTGGCCCAAGAGGAAGATGGGCAATCCCCCTCGCTTCCCCTTTTCGGCCGAGGCATTCGGCGACGCCATGAGCCAGGCTTCGGCAACAACAAAGAGGAACTCTACCTCGTCGATGCGCTCAAGTCGCCCTGATTCGTCCTCGCTCCGCTTCTCCGACATGGCCTCACCAGGCCAGTCCATCCGACTGAGTGACAACGAGGTTCCAAACACGCCCAGGTCGGGTGGAACGGATGATGATGATGTCGGATTCCACTACCGCTTCCTGGCCGCATATGGCCTGCATACCGTCAAGGCGCCCCTGCAGATCTCCTATGCGGTTCACAACAAAATCCTCCAGACGGAAGGCTGGATCGAGTACCGCGGAACAGAGCCCGACGACTACCAGCGCGGCTACGCACAAGCTTTCTACCAAGGTTCTGTCCCCTTCTGCGGAGATGGCACAAGTCGACCGTCGACGGCAGCGCAGGGCCAGGCGCACAACGGCGAACTCGGCAACGGCCACGTCAGGTCTGAGCACAACCGCGGCATCATATTTGCGGCCTACCGAAAGCCGCGCCCCGGCGCCGAGCCCGCCATCATGACCGCCGCCGAGCGCATGGACATGCAGCAGGACGCCCAGGGCCTCGTCGACATGATCCTCGACTGCCACATGGTCAAGCGGCGCCACGAGCAGCGGGAGAAATTCGAGATGATGGCGCTGAAGAGCGCAGGGTTTGGCGGTCGTCGGCTCGAGTCGCTCTCGGGTCGCAGTGGCGCGGCACCAACCGAATGCGGCTCCAAGGCGGGCAAGTTTGCTGATGGTGCCCGGGGGCGAGCTTCTATTTGACGGCCACGCACCCGCCTGCAGCTTGGGGATGCAACGAACTTCCAGTACCACTTTCGGCTTCTGGAAGCGGCGTGGAGGGCCTGTTTGCGACCAGACCCCGCCTCCAAAGATACGTCGCACTGCATATTCCGATAGCTGAGGGTTCCGGGTTATGTCACCTTTGCGACCCCAGCAGAACAAATTCTTCCAGAGCGGCCTTTTTCCATCTGTTGGCCTCGACTCTTGGCTTCTTTTTTCTTTCCTTTTCTTCTTTTTTTTTTACATCCCTTGTTGCGCGCTGCTCATACCCCACACTTGTCTTTTTCGCGCTTCCTCAATACCCCTAGACCAACGCCGAAGGCCTACCGGCGATGCTGTCCAAGTTCATCTTGCCGTTTTCCATGTTTGTTATATTTCACCCAATCATCGGGCGGATCTCTCTTTCCGAAAAGCAAACACTTTTATTTGACGGCTTCTTCCCTTGAGAGGATCGATCGCGCACGATCCCTCTACACACTCTCTCTCGCAGTCATCTCTCTGCGATATTTTTCCATTGCGTCAACAATTTATCACTCCACAACTGAATGACTGGGGCGGGCTGGCGTCTTTTGGGATGGGGGTTTGGGGGATTCCGGGGCGGGCGGGCCAAAGAGCCGGGTGCGGCTCACGCTGTTATGACGACTTACTCGGTGCCTAGACTTGCCGGCGACTGATATGTCGCTTGGCTAATACTCTCCTAGTCACCCCGCCATCTTGCCTTTCGGAAGGCCATGGTTTTCTAGAACCGACGCTTCCGTCGAAGGGACTATTCCCAATGAATTCGTGATCCTCATCGTTTGCTGCTGCGCCCTGACTGCGCCATGGGTTATGGGATGTGCCGCCCCATCGTGATCTACCTGGCGTTCCTGAACCGTGTATCTATCACTGGGGCCGTGTTGTTGGTACTGGCTGCTGGTGTGTTTAGAGGTCTGCCCAAGGAACTGCCTGGGCCATGCCTCAATCTAGTCTCCGGCCTACTTGTGCTTGGGCAGATCACTGGCCAGAACTTGCGCCTCGCCGACATTTCACAGCAGCGGAAACAGCACAACACCACTGAAGTGACCATGATGAGATACTGGTCTTGTTATTAGACCTAGCAGACCATATAACTTCAAACAAAAACGAAAAGAAAAATACCCTGAAACCCAACAAGTCCGATCCAAGCCCATCCTGCCCTACTCCTCCAAGACGTGGAGCCAAAAAATCAACCCTTCCTGTGGATCTTGCACACCAGGTCCGAGCCGTCGACCGAGTCGCCCTCGCGGACGGCCAGGTTGGACACGATGCCGTTGTGCGGGGCCGAGATGACCATTTCCTGTTGTCGAGATCACGTTGCGGGTTAGATAACTTGCTTCTGCCAACAGTGACAAGAGGGCAGAGATAAAAGAAAAAGAAAGAAAAAACTAACCATCTTCATGGCGCTGAGCACAGCCAGCGGGTCGCCCTTCTTGACCTCGGTGCCGTCGTGGACGCGCAGCTCGACGAGCACTCCCGCCATGGGGGCGCCGACCTGGCTCGAGTCGCCCGGGTCGGCCTTGGGGCGCGACACGTTCTCGACCGACGCCTGCTTGTCGTCGACCGTGACCTGGCGCACCTCGCCGTTCATCTCGTAGAACACCTCGCGTTGGCCCGTGTTCTCCGACAGCGGGCCGACGGCCAGGAGCTTGAGGATCAGGACCTTGCCCTTCTCGAGCTCCACGTGGAACTCCTCGCCGATCTCGGGCTTGGACAAGAAGTAGCGCGTCGGCAGGACCGACAGGTCGCCGTACTTGTTGATGAACTTGCGGTAGTCCTCAAACACCTTGGGGTACATGACGTGCGACGCCACGTCGCACTCGGTCAGGCCGTGCCCGTACTTTGCGCCCAGCTCCTTCTTGACCTTGGCGAAGTCGATGGCCGGCAGGAACAGGCCGGGCCGCTTGTCCATCTTGCGGCGGCCGCGCAGCGCGTTGGTGCGCAGCGGCTCGGGGAACCCGCCGTACGGCTGGCCCATCAGGCCCTCGAGGAACTCGAGCACCGACCCTGGGAAGTCGAGCTCGCCCGCGCGTGCCTCGACGTCGGCGGGCGTGAGCTTGTTGGACACCATGAACTGGGCTAGGTCGCCCACCACCTTGCTCGTGGGCGTCACCTTGACGATGTCGCCCAGCAGGTCGTTCGCGTGCTCGTACGCCTTCTTGGTCTCGAGCCACTGCGACCCCAGCCCCAGCTGCGAGGCCTGGAACATCATGTTGGTCAGCTGGCCTCCCGGGATCTCGTGCTCGTACACCTCCGGGTCCGGCCCCGCCAGGTGCGCCTCGAAGGGCGAGTACAGCAGGCGCAGCTGCTGCCAGTACGTGTCGAGCGAGCGCACGTGGTGCACGTTCAGGCCCGGGTCCAGGTCGCTGCCCTCGAGCGAGGCCAGGATGGCGTTGATGCTGGGCTGCGACGTCATGCCCGACAGGCTGTCCGTCGCCGCGTCCACGGCGTCGGCGCCCGCGTGCGCGCACGCCACCATGGACGCCACACCCGTGCCGGCCGAGTCGTGCGTGTGCACGTGGATGGGCAGGTCCGGATACTTCTTGCGGATGCTGCCGATGAGTAGCTTGGCCGCGTGCGGTTTGAGCACACCCGCCATGTCCTTGACGCCCAGAACGTGGATATCGAGCTTGACGAGCTTGTCCACCAGGTCCATGTAGTACTCGAGGTTGTACTTCTTCTTGGGGTTCAGCATGTCGCCGCTGTAGCAGACGGTGGCCTCCACCACGCCGCCCGCCTTGTGCACCGCCTTGACGCCCACCTCGAGCTGGTCGATGTCGTTGAGCGCGTCGAACACGCGGAAGATGTCGACGCCGTTCTTCTTGGCCTGCTCCACGAAGTGGTCGATGGCGTTGTCGGGCAGCGACGAGTACGCGACGCCGTTGGCACCGCGCAGCAGCATCTGGAAGGGAATGTTGGGGATCGCCTTGCGCATCTTGCGCAGCCTGTCCCACGGGTCCTCGTACAGGAAGCGGTAGGCCACGTCAAACGTGGCGCCACCCCAGCACTCCAGACTGTACAGGTTGCTAAGCGCGTGGCTCGTCTCCTTGGCGATGCCGAGAAGGTCGACTGTCCGGACGCGCGTGGCCAGAAGCGACTGGTGAGCGTCTCGCCACGTCGTGTCCATGAGCAGGCATCCCTTGTAGTTGCGGACGGCCTGGGCGAACCCCTTGGGGCCCTTCTCCAGCAGGATCTGCCTCCAGCCCTTGGTGCACGGCTGCGAGACATCCAGCCTCTTCCCGGCGTCATCCAGCAGCTCCGGGACGATAATCTCGCCCCTGAACTTGGGCTCGCCCACTTGGCCCTTGATGCTGCTGCCGTTCACGGCAACGTCGCCGAGGTAGGTGAGCAGCTTCTGGGCGCGGTTCTGGCTGCCGAGCAGGTCAAAGAGCTCAGGGGTCTGGTCGATAAAGGTGGTCCAGCAGGCTCCGTCGATGAAGGTCGGGTGGGTCAGGAGCGAGATGAGGAAGGGGATGTTGGTCTTGACGCCACGGATGCGGAACTCGACCAGGGCACGCAGCTGCTTCCGGCGCGCGATTTCGTACGTTGAGCCGTGGCAGCTGACCTTGGTGAGCATGGAGTCGTAGTGGGGAGTGATGACGGCTCCGGCGAAACCATTGCCTCCGTCGAGGCGCACACCGTTGCCTCCAGCCGACCTGTAGACCTCGATCTTGCCCGTGTCGGGTTGGAAGCCCTTGGCCGGGTCCTCGGTGGTGATACGGCACTGGATGGCGAAGCCCCTGGTGGAGATGCGGTCCTGGGTGAGGCCGAGCTGTTGCAGCGTGGCGCCAGCCGCGATCTGGATCTGTGCGGCGACGATGTCGATGCCAGTGATCTCCTCTGTGATGGTGTGCTCGACCTGGATACGCGGGTTGATCTCGATGAAGTAGTAGCGGTTCTGCTGGTCGACCAGGAACTCGGCCGTGCCGGCGTTGCGGTAGCCAACAGAGCTAGCCAGACGGACGGCGTCGTTCAGGATGGCGTCACGAACCTGGGGCGGTAGGTCCTTGGCGGGAGCGATCTCGACGACCTTCTGGTGGCGGCGCTGGACCGAGCAGTCGCGCTCGTAGAGATGCACAATGTTGCCAAAGTTGTCACCCAGCAGCTGGACCTCGATGTGCTTGGGCTTGTCCAGGAAGCGCTCGACGAAGACGGTGCCGTTGCCAAAGGCCGACTTGGCTTCCGACGTGGCGCGCTCGAACGATTCCTTCAGCGACTCCTGGTCGCGAACAACCCTCATGCCACGGCCACCACCACCGTAGGCCGCCTTGATGATGATGGGGAAGCCATACTCGTCGGTGAACTTCTTGACCTCCTCGTACCTGGCCACAGCGCCCTCTGTTCCGGGCACGACGGGGACCTTGGCTGCGATGGCAAGCCTGCGGGCCGAGACCTTGTCTCCAAGGGACTCGATAACTTGATGCGACGGGCCGACAAACTAGCCAAAGCCAGGGGCAAAGTTAGCCAAAGTGCCAGTTGGTAGTGGGAGAGGGGACATGTGCAGTTGCTTACAATTAGGCCAGCATCCTCAACCTTCTTTGCAAACTCGGAGTTTTCGGAAAGGAAGCCATATCCTAGAAGCGCTGTCAGCCGTGGTCCAAATTATAGTCTCTGCCGTCTGCCGTGGCGAAAGTCATACCAGGGTGGATCATCTGGGCGCCATGCTCGAGCGCGATCTTAATGATCTCGTCCCCGGCCAGGTAGGCCCCGACTGGCGTGTACTGTCCTCGTTTTCCAATGACATAAGCCTCGTCGGCCTCTATTGTCATGTGTAACCGTCTGCTGTCAGCTGCTGATGCACACTAATCAAGGGAGCCGGAGTGGCTAGAAGTAGGCGTAGGTCCAGTATCGTACTCTGCCTGTGCATGCTAAGCCGGTCCTCATAACTGTGTGCCGCTGATCGTTAGCGTTTTGTCTTTGGCCTCGGGCCGTCGGTTGACGAAGAGTGACAATCTGGACTGATGTGACACTAGGCGCTAGCAAACGAGAGCGTCGGATGGTCGAAAGGGGAAGACGGCAACATTCTGTCGGGCTCGGTCCGTACCTGAAGACGGCAATGGTGTGAAGAGAAAGCTCGTGCGCCTAGCTTGCTTGTCAGACAAACGTCGTCCCATCGGCGGAAGAATGAGACTAGATGGCGATCCGGTGCCACTTACAGTCCTAAAGATCTAAAGTTCCGCCCGAGAGGCACGTGTTAGCCTGGCACACCTCGAGAGAGTATGCAAGCCGTTGCAGTTGCACATGTACTTGTGCCATGGCGGCGAGTGGCGTGCGAGACATACCCGAATAGCTTCACAGGGCGCAGAATATCAGCACAGAGCTCACTCAGAGAGGACACCTAACAAACTCGAGGATGAGAGACGCGGAGGGAACTTACGAATTTCGCCACGGTTCGCAACTGCGACGGGAGGAAAAAGTCCATTGTCAGCATATGCGCATCCCCCAGGTTACTCTTTCACGGCCCAAGATCTCGCGTTCTTCTCCTCATCTGTAGCAAGGCCCCGGGGCGGCCGCCGTCCTCTCTCCCCTTCTTACCTAGAAGCTTCTTGAGCTGCATTATGCTGGAATTGGCCCTGATGCGATGAACAGTGTGCGCCTCCTTAGGCGCCTCCTCGACATCGTCAATGGCGCTCTCGGACTGGTACGCCGGCGGCGACTCCGAGGGCGGGGCGTTGGCCGACATGGTCGCTGAATGGGGGGGATTTCCCTCCCTCTGTGCGATCTCTTGGTGAAGAAGTGCGGTGTGAGGGCAATTGCGAGGAAAAGAAGAAACCTCGACAGCTTTCTCCTCGCCAGCAGCTCAAGGGTTGGGCTCCGTCGGGGAGTGGGATGATATATGGCGCGGGAGACGAAGCTTCGAGGTCGGTTCGAGCCCGCGCTTCTCTCAGTGTCGGTCGCGACAGTGGGGTGAGTGACGCTAGCGGATGCGATGAGTGGTGGGGTTGCTCGCGCTCGGCAGCAGGGGGAGCTTCCAAGCAGGGCAGGCGCTTTGGAGCCAGTCGTTTATCTCGAGCTCTCTTCGTCCTGTCAACAGGAAGGGAAGGGGTGAGCTTGCTTGCAAAGCACTGGCCTTTCCGCACCCAAACTTCCAATGGCCAGGCTAGAAACGAACAGATCGAGAGAGAGAGAGCACAGCAGAAATGGGAGCAAAGGAGGGAGGGATCAGTCCGGCACCTCGGTTGGGATGGAGGGGGATGCCAAGGAGATTTTGTTTTGGCCGCGCTTCTGGCAAGCAGGTCCCCGGACCCTTGTTGGACAAGCAGCTACGAGCACAGTCTATGGAGGGATTTTCTCTCACGCGCCAGGGGAATGTATGGATATCCCGTCCGTTTTCCCATCCGACTAGGGGTGGAAACACCTCATATTCGGACCCAGGGCTCACGGGCGCGGGCGCTATCTTCGCTTTCTCGCGGCAGGACAGCTTGGATACCCGAGGGGCCTGGCGCAGCAGCAGCCCACGGGCAAGCAGATGACGCATATGCAAGTGGAACGGACGACCCTGCCGCTCTGCCGGGGTGTGCAACCTCGGTTTGCCGCCACCCACTAGACTTCGGCTGGAGGTCGATTTTAAGCAGAGCCCACACAGGTTGCCCTTTAAAAGCCCGCAGTTCTCAACCCCACCGCCAGCTGCAAGTAGGCGGCGCTGACCTGAAGCTTAGGGCACGGGGCAAGACATTGATGTGCAGCAAGGCAGCCCATCCATTCCGCCGATGGCACAGCCAATTCAGCAGAGTCATGAAAACACAAGCTCTGTGTTCCAATCACCCCCACTCATGTCCTTTTTTTTCTTTTCTCTCTCACCGTGGCGGCACGCTAGCCGCGGAAAGTCAATGCCCTCCGGCGATAGGCACGCTTCTACGAATGAGGAGAGGTTGACTGTTGTTGACTAAAACCTTTTGCATCTCGATATGTCACAGCCATAGCAAGAAACCCCGCACACCTTCCTGACCGTGCCCCGTCGTGCGGCACTTTGTTGAGACAGGCACAGAGGTCCAATCTTGGCGGGATGGACGTCCATCATCATCCGCCCTTGCGTCCGGCGAACAGCCGTCTGTGCCCTGGACCCTGGAGCACTGACACGCCTCCAGATGTCTTGGCCCTTCTCTCTCTCTCCCCAGAACCGGGCCGATCATTTTTGACTATGTCGGGGTGTGTTCTATATGTGCCTCTAGGCACTCGTGGCATTCTCTTCCCTCACCGTCGTCCCTCGGCACAATGGATGGCGAATCACACATGATTATGGATCCTGTAACCGTTTCGGACACTGGGATGCTGAAGCCCGGCCGAGCGTTTTGGGGGGGGGGGGGGGGGACAGGGGTATGAGAAGGAGGGGCAATTGAATGCAATTCCCCATTACATTTTTCCCATGTCGCTCACACGCGCTTTCTGGTGGCGTCCCAAGCCACAGGACAAGCGTCGTGTGCTCTCGACCGCCGCCAATTGGCTCGTTTGCAACCCCGATATGGCTTCGCCTGCCCAATGCCTCACAGAACCTTTTTCTTGCGGCGGCTGCGCCTTGCTGCAGCTTGGATCGACACGACCTACTGCGTGTGTCGGCAATGGGTAATGAATGGGCTTATCTCGCCCAATCTCGGTGGGGTCCATTGGCCTTGGGACCAACCGCCCGCCTCGTTTTGACCTGCCCCTCTAGTCGCGCATTATCTATCTTTGCTTCTTTTTATACCGCCGTCATGAACATGCGCATTTATCGCTGTGAGACATGGCATTTCCGTCTCTGCCCTTCTGTGATCCCGCATCCTAGTTTAGGTCACAAACTAGGGGCAATCCTGATAGGGTGCCGGCCCCGGGTATTGACCGAGGGGCAGGGCTGCGCACCTCGACCAATGGTGATTGGTTTCAGCCTGGGGCTGGATTGAGGAAAGATCTCCCGTGCCTGGCACCTTGATGGAAAGATGCGTCTTTTCTCTGACCGACAGGCTGATCAGGATGTGACTCTGCTGATATCTGTGGAGTTGCATGTAGTATCAGCGCGAACTTCCGACTAACCAGTGTGGGTGACATCGAACAGCCGATATCAGTCGCCAGACATGGAAAGCAGAAAATTGCAGTCAACAAGTGGCAAGAGTCAAGAGTGGTCGAGCCCCTCTAGGCGTAGTTCTATTTTGACTCGAGATTGCCGAGTCGGCTACACGACCTTGCTTCTAGATCTCCCCTACCTGATCAGGAACCAGGAGGGACGAGAAAAAAAAGATGCCTGCCGTGACAAAAGCCTCCGCTCCATCCGGGAACCCGCGCGCAGCGCCGCAGAACCAATATTCCCGCACCCATGACCCATGTCACTGGCCCAGGGAGGGTTTTTAGTCCAGACGACTCCGAATCAGAACGGCGCTACCCAACGAGCCAATAGCATCACACCGCGGCGTGTGTGGAGAGAAGGAGGAGGAGGCGGCGGGCGGGCGGCTGCGGGGTTCGATACCGGGCCCGGCCGACTCCACCGCCATGGACTGGGAGGCTGTAAATACGCACGTAGTGTTGCTCGGAGAATGCGGAGAGGGTCAGGGCGAACCCCACACCCCGAGAAGCGACCACGCCCGTGCGGCGCGTGAGGCACGCCTCGCGCGCTTCGGCGTTCGCTCGGGGGAGCACCAAGGGCTCTGGAGGCTTGGGTATCTGTTTCGGAGAGGGGAGGGAACCAAGTGGCAGGCAGAAGTTAGGGTGTCCGTCTCTAGGGGAATCGAAGCTGGCGAGGCGAGGCGAGGCGATCCAGACGTCCCTCTTTTGGGGGTTCCGCGTTGGGCTACAACCAACACGCGCCTCTTACAGCGGGCCGGCGCAAGCCGATCCGCTCGTCCGCGTGCCCCGGCCGGCAACACGGGGCTAGACAGGCTTCACGTCAGATGTCAAGAGCGGCGTGATATTTCCTCCCCAGGGCCATCCTGCGGCTGCATTTAGAAGAGAAGGAGATTAAAAATTATGACAAAGGAGATAAAGAAGCGGGAAAATTTGAAAACGGCAGGTCCATCCGCCGGCCGATACGCATATCATCGGGTTTCCCAGACATCCATCATGAACCTCGTCGGCTTCCTGCTTTCGTGCCCTCCCCCCCAGAGATTAAGAAACGCCCCACCGGGACCACATCATCTCGGCTTCGGTGACCTCAGGATCTTTTTATATACAACATTCCCCAATGTCGTTTTCCGTTAACCCCTCGCCGCTCAAGCCACCGCAGTCTTGACAGCCACCACCTGCGGCTGCACGGTGCCCGCCTCCAGGGCCCTCTGCTTGCCGCCCATGTAGTGGTAGTCGGCATATCGGTACCCCTGCGTCGTCTGGGCGCCCCAGTTGACAAAGTGCATGGCGAACATGAGGTAGTTCTTCGGTTGGACCGCCATAGCGAAGCGCATGAAGGTCGACGAGTAGAGGAAGAGGGCGGCGGTCATCTGACCCGAGATGCTGACGGCGAGGGCGCAAAGTAAGCATGCCGTTTGTTTCCTTCCCGTCCTTTGTTCTCCTTCTGTTTCGTTTCGGGCCACACAGCCCGGAGGGGCTGTCGCAGCCCCAAACTGGTCCAACTTACAGCTCGGGGCTCTTCCGCGTGTCCGCGATGGCCGCCAGGGGGATTGTGAAGTTCGACGCAGGTCCCCAGAAATCTTTACAGTTCCATCTGGTTAGCAGGAACAGACACCCAAGCCTTCCGAAACACGAAGCCAGGGCTGCTCGATTACAGCACTGGCGTCGGGGCCCATCCAAATGGCGGGCGAACATACGCGTCGAACATAGGTAATCCGTGACCGGATTCGCCCGTATCCTGGCATTGATGGCTTTGACAAAGGCGGCCATGGTCGGGGACGTTCTGCTCGAAGCAATACGGTGATGGGAGGCGGTGGCAATCCAGGAGACAACCAAAATCTGCGAAAATTTTCTTGTTCTTCCTGTGTCGAGCCCGAGTTTAGGTACAAACGAACGGAATCACGTCCAACAGCTAGGGCAAGCTTTTCGGTGTGGATATGGGTCTGCCTGCCAACACCCCCGTCGGTGTTCGGAAAGCCAGGGGGGCGGCGCGGCTTGCCCGGTGGGTTGCACCCACCCCCAATTTCTCCGACATCATATGTAGAGACCTCTGCCCGGAAGATTGCGTCTCTGGCAGTGTCTTTTGTTACGTATCCACCGTCCAATCGTGACTAAATGCGAACAAGTGGCTCGCTCTGTCGGAGGACGCGGGGCGCATGCGCGTCTCAGCCTCACCGACCATTCATTCTCGTAGAGCGCGGTCGAGTTGGGTGACCTGTCGCATTCCCCCACCCAGCGGCATCATTCTGTGTTGATACTCCTTGGTATATCATATAAATGCGACTATCCGCCAAAGAAACATGGTTTTATGCATCTACCCAAACGCCCAGGTCGTGGAAAATCATCCTTCTCGAGATATGCTGCTCGGGAGTTTCGCTTAACGACGCGGCGGCGGCTGGAAGCCCGGCGCACCCTGGCCGCGTCCAAAGCCGGGGGCACCGGGAGGACCCTGGAAACCAGGAGGGAAACCACCCGGAGGAGGGAAGCCGGGTGCTGAAAGTGACAAGGCAAATGACTGTTAGCACCTCGGAGCAGTGAAGTACAAGCGGGCAGGGCAAAGAAGCGAGCGTACCACCAGGGAAACCAGGCGCGCCAGCAGCACCGGGGAAGCCAGGGAATGCAGGGGGAGGAGCGCCTCCCACACCAGCAGCGGGGCCCTGCGCATAAATCCAACGGTTAGCTTCTGAACAGCTCGGCCGAACTATTTCGACCTGGCAGACCGAAGAAACGGATGGACGAGGCTGGGGTGCGTGGAGGAATCGGAGGGTGGTCGTACGGCGAGTGAGACCGGCGCGGCGGCTCCTCTGGCAGCAGGGCGCGCGGTGCCTGGTCCTGCGGTCAATGTCGTCGAGATACCGCCGGTGGTGGTCTTGCCAAGTCGAGTACTCGGGTCTGCAGGGGGCGGGCTCTCGACAGAGAGCGAGACGATCTGCGCGCCGCGCACAATGGTAAGGCCGAGCGTGCGCTTCTCTTCCGTTTCGACAGTCGAAGACGAGCTACCGGAGGCCGCACCGGGCGCGGCGGGCTTTGCCTGCTTGCGCTTGACTCGGCGGAACTCTTCGGTGTCGGCCAGAACGAGGTTCATGTGCTGGAGAAGGGCCGGTCAGCGGTTGGCTTCCAGGATATCGGCGGGGAACAGAGGTTGCGAGCCGTAGGAAGAGTTCGCACCTTGTCGAACGCGAGCATCTGGCCGACCATCTGGCGGCCGTCGTTGAGGGTCGTCCTCATCCGGTAGTTGATCTGGGCTAGGCGCGTCAGCTTCTATCGGGGACGGGGACGGATGGGAGCGGCCGCAACGCGGATGCTGGCGGTCGGGCCGGGAGGTCGAAAAAGAATTGGGAGATCGGTGACGTACGTAACCGGCCTGCAACAGGGTGTGTGGTTAGCGGACGCGAGCAGAGGGGAGGCGAGGCGTTCCTGGTCTCGATGAAGCGCAACATACCATCTTGCCTTGCTTGTTCAACGAGGTCATGGTTGCGAATTGAAGGGCGCAAGGCTCCTTCGCTTTTCAAAAATTGGATTGGGAACTGCAGTCAGACTTGACTTGTTCGCTAGCGACGCGGTCTTGTCTGCTTACGAGCTTCCAAGTCCAGCATCAAGGTTGGTGATGTTCCGACCAGGCGGGATCTCGAGATTGCCGCCACCAAACCAACCTGAAAAGCGGGCGGGAGCTGCCTGACGCAGGGAGCTCGGACCACCAACCTCTTTCACCGCCTGTCATATGGGGAATGTGGGCCCACCAGTGCCTTCCCCTCCCAAACCCTCACACAATTGAAGCCCACACACGAAATTCTTTCCCGCGATCGCCTTTCAATTTTCCTTGTTAGCGACAACAATCTTCCAAAGCCCATCCCGCCCATTTTACTAACAAAAAACAGCCACCATGGTAAGCGCATCTCTTCCAGACTGACGATACGGCCATTGCGATGCTAATCACGTTTTCCTGCAGTCTGAGAAGGCCGCCAACCCCATGCGGGAGCTCCGCATCCAGAAGCTCGTCCTGAACATTTCGGTCGGCGAGTCTGGTGACAGGCTGACCCGTGCTGCGAAGGTGCTCGAGCAGCTGTCCGGTCAGACTCCGGTCTACAGTCAGTACCCCCGGGTCAATTTCTCCAAGGGCACAAAAGTGCCCATTCCACTGTCACTTGCTGTCACAAAAATCTGACCTTTGCCGATTTGCATAAACTACAGGCAAGGCCCGTTACACCGTCCGTACCTTCGGTATCCGCCGCAACGAGAAGATCTCGGTCCACGTTACCGTCCGTGGCCCTAAGGCCGAGGAGATTCTGGAGCGTGGCCTCAAGGTCAAGGAGTACGAGCTGAAGAAGAAGAATTTCAGCGAGACTGGCAACTTCGGCTTCGGTATCTCGGAGCACATCGACCTCGGCATCAAGTACGACCCCGGCATTGGTATCTACGGCATGGACTTCTACTGCTGCATGACCCGCCCTGGTGAGCGTGTCGCCCGCCGCCGCCGCTGCAAGAGCAGAGTCGGCACCAGCCACAAGATCAACCGCCTGGAGACTGTCCGGTGGTTCAAGAGCCGCTTCGACGGCATTGTCCGCTAAGCAGCTGCGGGGATTTGGCACAAAAGCAACCTGTTTCTTTTTTCCGGGCACGGCATGATCAAAGGAGTTCTTTTTCGTCGGTTAACTGGGCACATGGGCATTCGGAGTGGACATGGCGTGGACATGGTATCGCGCTTCGGGTTCTGGAAATAGGGCACGTGTATATCCTTCGTTCAGTCTCGTGAGCCTTTTGGCTTGCCACTCTCGCTTGGTCTGAATTTATCAGCCAAGCCACGGCCTCAGAGTCCGACCGGCATCTCAGCCGGCTTCCCGCTCCAAGTTTGATGTGGATTATTGTATGTAAGTGCTTGTCCGGTGTAGTTGACGGACTCCGGGCACTCCATGGCGAGATGATGCTACTAGTAGTGGCCAGAGGAATACATTCCTCGGAAACCGTCTCTGCCGCTGCAGCTTTGTGTCATGTTAAATAGGTATTCAGGTACATCCGGTAGTCACCTTCATACTCTCTTTGGGAGCAATGAGTTGGGCTTCGACGGAATCTGGACATGAGAGTGACTGCTGGGTTGGCAGCCTGTTAGCTAGGAGAGTGAGCTGTCAATGGAGACGTTGCATCACATATTCGGTCTTCTCATACTTGCGGGCATGTAAAAAAGTTCCCTGTAGTTTATATATGCATACTGATAGGAGGTGTCGTTGCTTGGCCTGTCCTGCAAGATTTATCTCATTCATATATATTGTATTGCTTCCTTTATGACAGATGCCCAACATGCAAGGCCAAACTTTACGCGGGGCTGCCCACTGGCAGCATTCCATCACGTCGACCACTTGAGGGGGTTTGTGTGTGGGGAAGCACGAAGCATGGCAGCGACTGGGGTGCATGGCTGGATGCTGCTACTGAGCGAATTCTGTCGGACCGTCATTTCGCCGGGCGCTGATTCTCTCACGGATTTTCCTGAGCGTTGCACTGAGTTGGCCTCTGTCAACCTCCGAGAATTCCCTGCTTCCCATCTTCCGATTGGCCTGCTCGAGCGAACAGACCCCACCCGCAGCCCAGTCTGCTCTCGTTTTTGGGGCTAGGTTCCCAGACTCCTCTCTGAAAACCTCGCATTCCAATTGTCTCAAAAACCTCCTTCGAACCATCTCCGCTCCAAACTGCGATTGCAAGGCGGTTGCAATTGCTTTCCTTGCGTTCCGCAACCTCCCAGATACCACTTAATAATGTTCCGGAACGCCCTCCGCCAGTCCAGCCGCGCTGTCGGCGCCGTGTCGGCCTCGAGCCGCATCACCGTAAGTCTCTGCTGTGCCCGCCGACCTCGAATCAATTCGGCCTCAATGCCATCCGGGGCCGACCCTGGCCCCTTTTGAAGCATCGCGGGGTCGCCGCCCGAGCTCAATGCATCTCTTCGCGACGATTTTGGGGCCGTGGAGGAGCTGGTTGAGCTTGGGAGCTTGGTGGGAGCTGCTGGTGGGAGCTGCTGGGTCGATATTGGATTTTTCTCGGGGCCAACTCGGCTAACTTGTTTTGCTTCCCCTGCTCGCCCAGGCCCGCAACGCCGCGCCCGCCTTCAAAGCCGCCTCGATCCAGGCCCGCACCTACGCCGATGCGAAGGCTTCGCCGACTGAGGTCTCTTCCATCCTCGAGCAGAGGATCCGCGGTGTCCAGGACGAGAACAACCTCGCCGAGACTGGCCGCGTTCTGTCCGTCGGGTACGTCGGACCAGGGGGGAAATGACTGTGCGCAATATGGGCGTGGATGGACATCGTGACAACACTCCTGGAAACCGCCGAAACACTGCGCTTCGAGCGGTTGCTCCTAATGTCCACGTCTAATTGGCATATCGAGAGGCTGAGGCTGACAATTGTACCCCATAGTGATGGTATCGCCCGTGTGCACGGCATGGCCAACGTCCAGGCCGAGGAGCTAGTCGAGTACGTCTCCCTCGCAGTATCCTTCCCCGCCAGACCATACTAACCTCTTCCAGGTTCGCTTCCGGTGTCAAGGGAATGTGCATGAACCTCGAGGCCGGCCAGGTCGGTGTCGTGCTGTTCGGCTCTGACCGTCTGGTCAGGGAGGGCGAGGTCGTCAAGCGTACCGGAGAGATTGTCGATATCCCTGTCGGCCCCGAGATGCTGGGTCGTGTCGTTGACGCCCTCGGCAACCCCATCGATGGCAAGGGTCCCATCGGTTGCAAGGAGAAGCGCCGTGCCCAGCTCAAGGCCCCCGGCATTCTGCCCCGCCAGTCTGTCAACCAGCCCGTCCAGACCGGCCTGAAGTCCGTCGACGCCATGGTGCCCATCGGCCGTGGTCAGCGTGAGCTGATCATTGGTGACCGTCAGACCGGCAAGACTGCCGTCGCTCTGGACGCCATCCTCAACCAGAAGCGCTGGAACAACAGCACCGACGAGACCAAGAAGCTTTACTGCGTCTACGTCGCCATCGGCCAGAAGCGTTCGACTGTTGCCCAGCTCGTCAAGACCCTGGAGGAGAACGACGCGCTGAAGTACAGCATTATTGTCGCCGCCACCGCCTCCGAGGCCGCCCCCATGCAGTACCTGGCTCCTTTCACCGGCAGTAAGTTGTCTCTCTACATGAATCAGAACTCGTTCAGCATCCCCTTGCTAACATCGCTCCACTCTTCAAGCCGCCATCAGCGAGTACTTCCGTGACAACGGAAAGCACGCTCTGGTCGTCTACGACGATCTGACTAAGCAGGCCATCGCCTACCGTCAGATGTCGCTGCTGCTGCGTCGCCCCCCCGGACGTGAGGCCTACCCCGGTGACGTCTTCTACCTGCACTCGCGTCTGCTCGAGCGTTCGGCCAAGATGAACAACAAGACCCACGGTGGTGGCTCCCTGACTGCTCTGCCCATCATTGAGACCCAGGGTGGTGATGTGTCCGCCTACATTCCCACCAACGTCATTTCCATCACCGACGGTCAGATCTTCTTGGAGGCTGAGCTTTTCTACAAGGGTATCCGCCCCGCCATCAACGTCGGTCTGTCCGTGTCTCGTGTCGGCTCCGCTGCCCAGCTCAAGGCCATGAAGCAGGTGGCTGGTTCCCTGAAGCTCTTCCTGGCCCAGTACCGTGAGGTCGCCGCCTTCGCCCAGTTCGGTTCCGACCTGGATGCCGCTACCAAGCAAACCCTGAACCGCGGTGAGCGGGTAAGTGATCACGCACCTCCAAGACCCCAAAGACAGAGTACATGTGTGGCTGACGCAATCATTACCTCTGCAGTTGACCGAGCTTCTCAAGCAGCGCCAGTACAGCCCCATGGCTGGTAAGTCTTTCAGGAAAATCCTTGACTTGTCCATTGACTCTGGCTAACAAGCAGTAATTTGCAGTCAACGAGATGGTCCCGCTCATCTTCGCCGGTGTCAGGGGTCTCCTGGACTCGGTCCCCGTGCCCAGGATTCAGGAGTGGGAGGCCGACTTCCTCGCCTACCTGAAGACCAACGAGTCCGACCTGCTTGCCACCATCGACAAGGAGGGCGCTCTGAGCAAGGAACTGGAGGCCAGGCTCCAGGACGCCATCACCACTTTCACCAAGAGCTTCCTTGGTTAAATCTCCTGAGGGCGCTTTTGTGTCACGTTAAAAGCATTACTGGGAGGTGGTGGGAGATGCGGGCGGCGGATGTCTATACCTGATGGCTGTGTCTCGTTTACTAGAGAGACGGTTTCTTCTCGCTGGGTGCAGTGGGAACCTGCGGGATGCAGGGAGGGACTCGATTCTCCAGTCCGCGGTATTGTAAAATAGAGTCGAACTCAATCAAGCACTCGAATTCCTTTTGTCTTATACCTTGTTCAGCGGTGACGTGTGACTGTATGGACGTTTTGGCAGAACGACGAGCCTGTTGTTGGAATGTGTTCGCCGAGTGTCTAGGGCATCTCTGGAAGACGTTTTATTCTAGGCTCAACTAAGCCCCTTATAAACCCAACATCCTGACCGACCAAATGGACAGGAGAAAGGACACAAGAGTGCCGAAAAAAGCAACCAGAGTAGAAGAGTCGGAACAAGGAGATGATATATGTGAAATGACAAGATATAGGAAGCAGTGATGATGACCCATATGATAGCCTCATGGATAAGGGCTTCAATTGTAATTGATGACTACTATTTGGTCGTCATCCCATTCTGTTAAATTTGTTCATGATATTCGCAGCCCGTCAAGTTGCTTGGTGGTGTGACATCATTGTGATGGGCCAGCGGATGGGAGTTGGGATATTTCAACTGCGGTGATGCGACCCCTCACAATGCAAGATTGGTTTCCGAACCACACCATCCGGCACGGACTAGAACCAAACTAACAACTACAAAGTGTTAGCTTGCACCTTTTCAACTGTCTGCCAGACTCATAAGAGCTGCGACCGAGAAGAATGCCCTCCGACCGCATGCCGGAAATGTCGGCAGCCACCAAAGAAATCCTTGGCCGGGTGCGGCGGATGGTCCCGCCGATGTTGGAGAGCTTCCGCAAAGGTCCGTTCCAAAGGGACCGTCGATTGACACAGGACTTTCGGGGACGAGGCTGACGACCTGCCGCTACAGGCCAGCTAGGACGGATCGGCGTCATTGGCGGGAGCGAGGACTACACCGGCGCGCCGTACTTCTCGGCCATGGCCAGCGCTAGGCTCGGTTGCGACATGGTACTGATGTTTTGATCTCCAGTCCTGGAATAGCTCCTACTCTGTGATATGGGAGACCAGGCCACACAGAGCATCAAACTCGGGCCCTCTCATGCTGATCATGCTTCTGCTTCTCCAAGTCACACGTTATCTGCACCCTTGCCGCCGCCGCCGTCATCAAGACCTACAGCCCCAACCTGATGGTCCACCCGCTGATGCGGCAGTCGTCGTCGTCGTCCCAGCAGCCGCCACCACCCGACGTCGATGCCGAGGCCGAGGCCGAGGCGGTGGCGTCGCCCATCATCGACCTCCTCGCGCGCCTGCACGTGCTCGTCGTCGGGCCGGGCCTGGGCCGCGACCCGCTCATGCAGCGGACGTGCCGCGTCGTCGTCGCCGCCGCCCGCGCGCGCGGCATGCCCGTCGTGCTCGACGCCGACGCCCTGCTGCTCGTCCAGCGCGACCCGGCGCTCGTGCGCGGCTACCGCCTGGCCGTGCTGACGCCAAACGTGGTCGAGTTTGGCCGCCTCGCCAGCGCGCTCGACGTGCCCGAGGCCGTTGACGGTGATAATAATGATGGGAAGTCGGCCACGGAGCGGGCCGAGGCGCTGGCGCGCGCGCTGGGCGGCGTCACGGTGGTGCAGAAAGGCGGTAAGGATATCATCGCCGGCGGCGGAGGTGCCAGCGCGCTCGTGGTGGATTTGGAAGGCGGCCTGAAGCGCAGTGGCGGGCAGGGCGACACGCTGACGGGCTGCATCGCGACCATGCTGGGTTGGCGCAAGGCGGCGCTGGACGGGCTGTGGGAGGGCAGCGAGGCCGGGGTGGCGGACGAGGGCGAGAGCGTGCGGCTGGCGGCGTTTGGAGGGTGCGCCGTCACGCGCGAGTGCTCGCGCCTGGCGTTTGCGCGCCGCGGCAGGAGCCTGCAGGCCAGCGACCTGACCGAGGAGGTGCACCAGGCGTTTCTAAACGTGTTGGGTGAGAACGCCGAGGGCAGGACGTCGTCGCGGATGTAGCAGGGCCGTGTGTGCTTGAGGTCTGGGCTCCGATGTCCTGAGACAACTAACTGTCTCTTGACAAGAATTTGACGGCATGGCTGTGATGAGCACTGCCAGGATCTAGGTAGTTTATCGACGAGGTGAAAAGAACTAGATGGATACATGTACCTTCCAGTCGGCTTCCACCCGGAAGCAACGAGCGGCTCGTGCAACTCCCATAGATCCCTCCTTCAGCCGAAAGAATATTGAATGCAACGATTCCACCATCCACCGGCCAGTGAGTCTGGCCTACAAACGCCGTCAACGCCATCTGTTCATCGCTTAATCCCAACAACAAGGGTATCTTGTTCCCCCAAACAACGAAAGACTCGTAACACATTTCGATCATCAGAATATCTCCCTCGCCAGGGCAACAGAAGGCCCGTCTCTCAATGACACGATCAGGCTTGCCTTCTTCTTTGAGGCAACAGAATACTCATCCGCAACCACCACGTAACCTTCAGCGGGGACCGTCCTCAAAGCAGCGTGTCTCGAACGTGCAATGGAACTATTCCCATAGAGACGGAGGTCCCATGGAGGAGGATGGAGCTAGTGGCGCTTGGATTGTGCCTTGCCCTTCTTGTAGTACCACTTCTTGCCGCTGCCAACAGGCTTGGCCGGCGGCGCCTTGGCCTTGTCATCGTTGGGCTTGGCCGCTGGCTTCTCGCTGGTCACGGCAGGCTTGGCGGTTGTCTCGTCCTTGTCGTTGTTGGACTCGGTCGCAGCAGCCTTGTCGCTGTCCTTCTTGGCCTTGGCGGCAGTCTCCTCGGCGGCAGCATTCTCGGCGGCAGCCTTCTCAGCGGCAGCCTTCTCGGCGGCAACCCTCGCGGCCTCCCTGCGCTTGGGCGCAGCATCCCGGATCTCCCTGCCATAGATGGGCAGCGGCGGGGCTGGGATCACATAGGGATCGAAGTACTTGCGGTTGGGGTCCTCGACCATCAAATAGTCTATGAGGACGCGGGTGCCATTGGGGAAGCCCCCAAGCCTGATAAAGAGCTTGTGGACCTTGGGGAACATGTTAGGCGGGCGCTCCTCGGTCCAGCGGAGGACACAGTTAACGGTCTCGACGAGGTGGCGGTATGGGGCCAGCTCCTCGATGCTTGGCAGACTCTGGTGGAGACAGTAGCCGTCGAAGTTGACGGAGACAATTCCGACCGCGATCAGCCTGATCATCCATTGCGACCTGGGCGCCAAGTGGCAAGGTCAGTAAAGGTTTGATTTCATTAAAATGAAATGAGGAAAAAGAAGGCATGGTGAAGAAAGGGCATATGAGGTGTGGCAGGGCTCGAAGCTTACACAAGGTCGCGGTGTCCACGGCCATACGCCACCTGAACGAAGTGAAGCAGGTCGCCCGAGTGGAAGAGAGGCAGCCTGACGGGGTAGATCTGCAGGCCGGCGAGGGCGTGCAGGACGCTGCGGATGGGCCAGGCGCTGCCCATGGCCGAGAACTTGAAGGACGCGGCCGTGCCGGCCTCGGGGGCGCAGCGGCCGCGCAGCCAGGCGACGTAGGACGCGCCCTGGGGGACCACGCGCGGGTCCGTGGTGACGACCAGCACCTGGCAGCGGTAGCGGCGGCCGCCGTCGGCGGGCACGACGAGACCGCCTGGGCCGCAGCCCGACGGGTGGAAGCTCACCACGCCGCCGATGGGGACGGCCTCTACCTCTACGTATTCGCGTACGCGAATACGGATGGTCATGTGGTGCCGTCCTGACGGCTGACAGCCGTGGTCGACCCAGACCTCGGTCACCAGCTGGTTGAGGAACCGGTCCACGGCGGCCGTGGGCGGCTGCAGGAAGGGCCGGCTGAAGAGCACCCTCGGCTCGTCATGACGTTGGTAGTTCATGGTGGGAGGATACTTGTGCTGATCCTCGAGGAGATATCCCTTCTTCTCCATCGGGATTTTAGCGACTGCCGCCATGTCTAGATATCTGGAAGTTCTGGAGCCGCGTTTCTCGTATGTAGATATTGTAGATAATCAAGGATTGATCCCAACCGGCATTGGCGGGTGAACGGGCTTTGTGCGAGTGAGATCTGTGGGAGTGAAACGAAGAGGAAGCACCATTGGGATGCTGGGTGAGGAGGATGTGAAGTGAAAACTTTCGTGGGGGCCTGCTCAGGTTTGTGGGACATGCAGAGCACATTAAAGCGCCCTCACGCGGCCAGGTCAGGTTCTATCAGGTTCCACTCTTCGCTTTTGAGCTCTTGCCATTCCTCTCCGGAATCTTCCCTCCGCTCTGGCAGCAGAGCTTAGCTTTTCCAGGTCTCGTTATACTGCACAAACGACAGTCTGGTCGAATCTGACTTGCATTTCATTCACTCCAGCTGCGTGTTTCTAGGTACCTGACTACCAACCTGGCATGCAAGCGATACACCTTTGTCGGGGCCAGATCACACTCGGAACAAGAAGCTCCTTCCACATATCTCATTCACCAGTCAGTCACCTGATGTAGGGCTTGCCTGGGGAGGGTAGGCTGTTGCACGGACAAACTTGGTTCTAGGGTCTAGCTTCGATCTGCCTCTCTCCTTCCCCCAACCTCAACCTCAGCTGCCATACAACCTCCCTGTGTCGTCACAGCCCCACATCTGCTGGTGGCTTTAGGCTTCCCTTATTGTCTCTGAAATCCATCTACTGCTCGCCGGGGCCCTCAAACGATTTGCCTGTCCACCAGGACCACATCGCCGTGCCTCTTGTTGTATCCGCTCCGGCCGCCGTTGTCAAGCGCCCCGAACTGGGGGGCCGTTGGAGTGTTGCTTGGAACGCTGTTGTAGCCGCTGCGGCCTCCCCGCTCCTCGAGAGTCTGCGTGGGGGCGGCCATGGCGCCCAGGACTGGCGCGAGGAGGATGATGCTGAGGATCTTGGGGAAGAACATGCTTGGTCTTTGGGAAGAGGCGGGAGGCTTTAGTGTAGTTTAGTGTAGATGCCCGGAGAGCGATGCAGAAGACGGTTTGCGAGCGTGAAAATAGTGATTGAGGTTGAGGCTGAGATCGAGGTCGAAGTTGGGGATGAACTGGAAATGGTTCGAGAGGGGGAAGCGGCAGCAGCGTTCCGTTTATATACATCGAGGGCAGCCATAGCCGCGGCCTAGAACAAGGCCAGAGATAACATCCCAGCCAAGAGTCTGCTCGGCGAAAGTTGGCTGTTGCCTGTCTGCACCCCTTGATATCACTAGTCTGCGGCCCCCAGGTCCCATCATCACGCTCCTGAACACCAATACTTTGGGTGTCCGTTGGGGTAGCTAGTGGCATGTACACCACAGAGGAGCCTCGCTACAACGTCGGTGTGCGGCACAGCAGTCAGCCTGGTGCCAGCCTTTGCCAATCATCAGGGGGGGTTTGGATGCGGCCGTTTCCGCCCCACGTCTTTCACAGCATCGCAAACATCACATCCCACTCGAACAATGCATAAATGTGACCAAAGGGGCCAACCCATAGCCACAATTCGGCTCTTCTGGCCGCATCTAGAAGTTGGGGTCAATGGGTGTCTGTTGTCTGTTGGTTTCTACTGATGACAGCTGTGCCACAACGCCATATCCATATCACACGTGGTGGGGATGACAGGCACCATGCCTATCCAATCAGCGGCCTCATCTCCACAGGAGCAGCGAGCGGAAGGATGCGGCTCATTCGTGATAGACAAGGCCACCGAACCTGGCGGCTTACAGGTACTCCTATACGACAGACCTGACTGGCGGCGCTTAGAGGCTGCGTTGTTCCTGTAGATACAAAACCCTAGGCCGGACAACGAGAAATGTACACAAGAGTTCATATTAGACTATTATATTATCTAGCAGTTACACTCAGCCCTGCCTGCTGCCCGTCTACCAGATCTTGCACGTAGGCTCCTTGCTCGCACAGCCAAACGTCTCGCGGAAGTGCCTCGAGTTCATCAGCGGGCCCGTGACGCGGAACTGGGCGGGCGAGTGCGAGTCGGAGAAGACCTGCGAGATGAGGGCGTTGGGGCGGGCGGCGCCGCACCAGCCGTTGGCGTAGGCGATAAAGTACATCTGCTCGTGCGAGTAGGCCTCGAGCCCGGGCAGGGTGACGTCGACGCCGCCGGGCGCCTTCTCGGCCACGTACTGCTTCCAGGCCAGGAAGCCCGTGTCGACGCCGCCTGCGTCGGCAATGTTCTCACCCAGCGTCTGCTGCCCGTCGAGGTGCAGGGGGGTGCCGTCCGTGTTGGGGACCGAGAAGTTGGCGTACTGGTCGATGAAGCACTGCGAGCGCGCCGCGTACTCGGCGTTGGTCCGGTTGGTCCACCACGAATCGCCATAGGCACCGTCAGCGCCGAAGCTGCGACCGTTGTTGTCGAAGCTGTGCGAGATCTCGTGGCCGACGGTATAGCCCGTGACGGCAAAGTTCATGTAGGCCGGCAGGTCCTTGTGGAAGTAGGGGGTCTGCAGAATGGCGGCGGGGAAGGCGATCAGGTTGCTGTTGGGGTTGTTGTAGGCGTTGACAGTCTGAGGCGTCATCTCGAACACTTCGCGGTCGTAGGGTGTGTTCAGCTGGTCCCAGGGGAGGGCAACAGAGAACCGCGCAGCCGCGATCGAGTTGTTGAAGTAGGAGTCGTCGATCTTGAGCGGGGCGTAGAATGCCCTGACGGACTCGGCGTCTGATACGTTGACAGGCAGCTTCTCAGGGAAGCCCAGAAGCGTGCCAACAGCGTCCAGCTTCTTGAGGGCGTAGTCGCGAACAGGGCCGTCAAGCCAGGTGAGGGAGTTGATGCTGTTGGCGTATTGCGTCTTCATATAGGCCACAATAGACTGCATCAGCTGGAGGCTGTTTCCGGAGAAGTGGTCGTTGGTGTAGAAACGCCCCAGGATCCAGCCAAGGCCGTTGATGTCCGAAACCTCGTTGAGGCAAGTCCGCCACCTAGCCGGGAATGCCGTAGGGTCCTATATACAAGATCCAGTTAGCCAGCTGGTAGTGTTTCAGCGGTTGTCGGGAGATACTACATACCCTCCCCTGCAGCTCGTTGTTAAAGACGCGCAGGGGTTCGGTCTCGGGGGCCATCACGTAGCGGTAAAACTGGTTCACCACGGTCCAAGAGAGGTAGGCCTGGATCGCCTCCTTGGACGTGGTCTTGACGATGGCCTCGACTTTCGGGATGAACTCGGGGAAAGAAGTCAACAAGCGGTCGTTTTTGAAGTCGGTAGGCGACAGCGTGGAGATGACATGTTTCATCCCGAGGCTCGGGGCGAGCTTGTCGGTCTCCTCCAGAGACATGATGTTGTAGTATTTCTAGGTGGTGATTAGCTCACTGCAGCGCTGTCAACGGACGGCAGCTCTGCTCTCTGCCCACTTACATTCACATCGAAGATGTCGATAAGCGGCGGAGTGATGGCAGACACAGCCTTCTCAAAGTCGACCACCTGGTTGGCGAGCTGCTCGGCCTTGGCTCTGGCGTTGGCGCTGGGTAGTATGGCGGCGAAGACCTTGGACATGGCTGACTGGTACGATGCCATGGTATTGTTGTCCGTGTAGAAGTTCGTCGACAGGGTGAGCTGGCTCTTGGGAGCGACTACCACAAGCCGGACGAGCTAGGTAAGGTTGTAACATGGTCAGTTGAGGCGCTGCTGAAGAGGGGGGCACAACTTTAACTAACCGGAAACTTGTCGTCCCTGCCAGGGCCGATGCCGATGAAGGGGAATATGCCGAGCTTCTGCAAATACAACAAGACGTCTTGGAGAGGTGTCTCTTTACCGTCGGCGGGGTACAAGGCGGCGACCTCGTCCAGCATGGCCTGGATGGGAGCGACGCCGACATTCTGGATGGCATCGACGTTCATGCAGGCGCTGTAGGCAGCCTTGGCCTTGGCGAAGCTCTCGGCATCGGCGGGGGTGTCGATGGGGGCATTTGTGCCGTTGAGGTAGGTCGAGACGATGTTATCAGCCCGGTCTTGGAGCAGGTTGTCGTTGCTCATGCGGCCCTGCTCGGGGCGCAGCTTGTGGTCTTGGCGCCATCCGTCGCAGACCCAGGTCTCGAAGTTGCCGGGGGCGCACAGGTCGAGCTGGGTGGTGTTGACCTGGAGGTGGCGGGCCAGCTCGGAGCCAACGTCGGTGCACACGCCGAGCGTGCACACGGTCTGGGCGGCACGTGCGATCCTCATGGTGGCTGATGTCGACAGCTCGAGCTAAGACGTTGGCTGTGGGGTACCTAGTCGCCGGCGTGTGCTCGATCTGGAGGCTTGGCCTGGGGAACTCTGCAAGGGGTGAGAGCACGGCCAAGGCTGTCACAACATAACCGCCAAGTCGGGGCTTCGCCGTGAAATAAATACCACTGCTGGACGCCTGCCCATTAGATTCAGGGGTGACGGCCAGCCCCTCATCCCTCATCGTGGCGACTACCGGGAGTACCGGAACTCTCTTGAGCCGTGATTGATTGCGAGCATAAGATGAGTGCAGTTTCCTGACGCAGGCTGAAAGGGGAAACAATGGTAGAGTCGTGCAAACCCAAAAGGTTGGAGCTCAAATTTCCGGCGCTCCAATGAGCTCCAATGAGCACCCCCATGATCTGCAGCCCCTGGCCTGAAGTCGGTTAGCGCTAGCCGATTTAGGCATGTGCATTACTGTGCAATTCAGCGTGGCTGGGTCCTGCCACGGAGCTTGGGACGCGTTGGGAAGGTGTTGGTACCTGAGCAGGGAGGGATAAACTCAATTCATCCAGCATGGTAGTATCATGTATTTCATGTCATGTGATGCATCAACTGTTCCTTCATCCATCCCACCGGTCTGTGGCCCTTGATAGGAGGCACCTACCTGAGTAGTGCCACCTGGTGTAGCCTCGACATGCAGCGAACCACCTGGTTACCAATAGCACGGACGACAAGCATGTGGTTCTTCTCTCTGTCGGGACGGGCCGCCTGCCACACTGGCTCGAAGTGTTTGGTCCAGTGTAAGAAGAGCCTCCTCCGTGGTATTTGTGCTGGTGGCATCGCCCAAAGAAGCCAGCTGTTCGCCGCCGTGCCCCGCCATATTCTGTCGACCTGACATCAACTCTCCTCAGTCTCGAGCTTAACCTGCGTTTATCCGCATGGCTGAGCTACCCTCTGGTGGGGATGCCACGTCGCTCGCCGCTCGCCGCTCGCCGCTCACGAACCCTTAGTCGGCGAGATACCGGGATTGTCTAGACACTCATGCAATCCCTCGATCCGGGCCTGGAGCGAACTCCCAGATAGCCAGGCCTTAGCCCCAAGCGATGCGGGGGAGCCCCAAAGCTGTCGCCCATTGGTGGGACAAGACGGACGCTGCGGCCGCGCCCGATTTTCCCGTCGAATCAGTGCCTCGGTCTTCAGTCTGCTCTCTGGGGAAACTGGAGAATGAGGAGAAGCACATCAAACGCTTTGGCGGCTTTCTTAGGCTCATGATCCATGGCCAGTATAAAATACGACCGCTCTCTCGAACCGTACCACCGTAGGGGAGGGGAGTCTGCCAGCCAGCCGCTCTCTCCTCCCCTGCGCCTGCCCACCTCCTTTGACAATGAAGTCCATCATTCTGTCCGGCCTCGTCGCCACGGCCGGCCTCGCGTCCGCCGCTGCCGTCCGGACCACCAGAGAGGAGAAATGCAGCCCCAAGCCCATCAAGGCAGCTTACGCCGCACGCATGGCCAGCTCCTGGATTCTCAACAACTACGAGAGCCAGCGCGACGGATGGTACGGCCGCGCCGCCCTCTACACGGGCTACGAGGCCGTCATTGAACGCACCGGGAACGAGACCTTGCGTGACTGGTACCGCTCCCGCATTGACGGCCTCGTCGTCCGCCCGGACGGCACGATCCCGGACTGGCGGCCCGAACACTACTCCATGGACGATTACCGGATCGGCCATAATGTTCTGCACTGGTATGATCGGACCGGCGAGGAGAAGTACAAGACGGCGGCCGCCACCATCCGTGCCATGCTGGAGCACCACCCGCGCACCCCGACTGGCGGTTTCTGGCACCGCGACGGCGTCTATCCGAACCAGATGTGGCTTGATGGCATTTACATGGCAGACACCTTCTACGCCCGCTACACCAAGACGTTCCAGCCCAACAACCAGACCGCATGGGGTAAGTCCCTGGCTTTGCGCGTTTCTGTTTGATACCTTGGCACAGCATGATACTCACACGACGCCGTTTCAGATGACATCATCCTCCAGTATGACAAGATCGAGGCCATCACGCGCGTTTCCGAGACCAACCTAATGGTGCACGGCTATGACGAGTCCAAGAAGGCGGTCTGGGCAGACCCTGTGACCGGCGCCGCGCCCATCGTGTGGAACCGCGCTGTCGGTTGGTACTTCTGGTCCCTGGTCGAGCTCCTCGACACCCTGCCGCGCTCGCACCCGGCCTGGGACCGCATGCTGAAGAATTTAGTCACCCTGGCCGATGGCCTGAAGCGCGCGCAGGACGCCAAGTCTGGAGGCTGGTGGCTCGTCATGAACGAGCCGTATCCGGGACGCGAGGGCAACTACTTTGAGAGCTCGGCCGCCGCCATGTTCACGTACGGCTGGCTCGCGGGGCTCAAGAGGGGCTGGCTCGCCGAGAAGGACTACCTCGCCCCGGCCACCAAGGCCTACGCGCATCTGATCAACGACTTTGTCATCGAGAACACTAACGGCACCCTCACGTGGGACGGCACCGTGCAGGTCGGCTCCCTGGGGAGCAACGCGACGTTTGAGGTTGGTGACCCATCTACTTCCGAGACATCCCCTTAGCTACCGATTTTGACTAACACTTTTTTTTTTCGGTAGTACTACGTCGGTATCCCGATTGTGCAACATGACACCCGCGGCGTCGGTCCTTTCTTGCTCGCCGCGGTGGAGTGGGAGGAGCGTAACAACATTCAGTCCTGAGTAGCCTGAAAAATGGCTATGGGATTGCGCGAGTCATCTTGCTTTGTATAGACAAGGGCAACCTGAGCACGTGGCTTAACCGTCGGATTTGGGTCGCAAGAGTGCAATAGACTCCAAGTAACCACCATCCGAAACCCCTTGTGAACCCCATGCTCCTCGGCAACCTGTCGTTAAAGGCCGCGGGCCAAGGGCTTTCGGTGACCCAATATCGAAGGTGACTCCTATGGAAGCGGATCCGAGCCCCATCGCCCCGGGAGACGGCTCATTGTGATAAGCCAGCCACTCAGGCCCGGATACTCGGCTAACCAATATCTGGTCATTTCCCTGGTGATCCACCCGAGATGCTGGGGTGCCAAGGATGACGATTCCAGGAAGCGTTGGCCAAGCCATTCGGTTGGCCTGGTAGCGGGGTATATATGAATCATGCCTCCCCCTCTTGGGCACGTCATCCCAGGCCGGTTCGGCCCCATCGGCAGGAATCCGGGGCTGCTTGCGCTGATAAGATGCCTTCCTGTATATAAGTAGCTAGGCGACATCGCACTAGGGCGCAGGGACAGCTAGGAAGCCAGAGCTTCACCTACCCCAGTCAGACCTCCAGGCCAAGTCGCTCGCCGTGCAGTCCAAAGCGCGAGCCGTGAGCTTCTATCCCAAGACCCCTCACACCGCCCGGATCGCCTCGTTATATCCACAATGAAGCTCGCGATGCTCCGCGCCTCGGCCCTGGTCGCCATCATGGGCGCGGCGGCCGGCGCCCCGGCCACCAAGTGCAACTCGACGGGGCCCTCGACCCCGGCGACGACGCTGCAACACTGGCCGTCGGCGGCGGCGTCGGCGCTCGACGCCATGATCCGACGGCACGCGCACAGCGGCGCCTACGCCGTCTTCGACATGGACAACACGGCGTACCGCTTCGATCTCGAGGAGTCGCTGCTGCCGTACCTCGAGTCGCGCGGCGTGCTGACGCGCGCCGGGCTCGACCCGTCGCTGCGCATCATCCCCTTTGCCGACTCGGAGTCCCACTCCGAGTCGCTCTACAGTTACTACCTGCGGCTGTGCGCCGTCGACGACGCCGTCTGCTACCCCTGGGTCGCCCAGGTCTTCTCGGGCATTCCGCTGCGCGAGCTCAAGGCCCACGTGGACGAGCTCATGGCGCTCGAGGGCACCGTGGCCACGACCGTGACGGCCGACAACGGCACCGTGGTGCCCGTCGAGGTCAGCCCGCCGCGGCCGTTCCGGGGCCAGCAGGAGCTGTTCGGCCGGCTGATGGACAACGGCATCGCCGTATACGTCATGACGGCCGCGTCCGAGGAGCTGGTGCGCATGGTGGCGTCGGACCCGCGCTACGGCTACAACGTGCCGGCGCAGAACGTGGTCGGCGTCACCATGCTGATGACCAACCTGACGGACCCGGCCGCGCCGCCCACGACGTCGCGCAAGCAGATCGCCGAGGGGAGATACGACCAAGCGGCCAACCTGCGCGACATGCAGATGACGCCGTACCTGTGGACGCCCGCCACGTGGAAGGCCGGCAAGCACGCGGCCATCCTGACTTATATCGACGAGTGGCGCATGCCCGTGCTCGTGGCGGGCGACACGCCCGACGGCGACGGGTACATGCTGTTCCACGCCACCGACGTGAAGCAAGGGGGCGTCCGGGTGTGGGTGAACCGCAAGGAGAGCTCCATGAAGAAGCTGCAGGGCATGATCGACACCAACACGAGGCGGCAGACGGAGCTGGGGCTGGAGGTCACGGCGAACAAGAATTGGGTCATCGTGAAGCCTGAGGAGATCTTGTAATATATGCCTAATTAAACGAGCTGCTTTGTGATGAATCTTGATGAACATACCGATAGAGCTGGCACCTCGTGCCATCCCCTTTATTTCCAGACGTTGATACAATGACCAGTTCTGCCAGAAGGCGCCATGTTCAAACACAGCCTCTATCATCTATCACCACCGGGGCCTCTTCGCTAGGGCTTCTCCGCCATCTTATTGGTTGCCGGGAAAGCAAGGGCCTTTGCCCAATGGCGAAGTATAGGCCGGATCGGTGTTGACGCTCCTGAAGACCCAGCCGCTGGTCACGCCACGGGGGCACGTATCGCTCACACCATCGGCGGACGCCGGCGTGGCCTGGTAGACCCTGCAGGTGGTCGTGAACTTGCGGTAGAAGACGCAGCCGGGCGCCTGGTAGCAGATGGAGCAGCACCTATCGGTGCCCACGTCGTTGGCCTCCACCTGGGTCGTGAACTCCGGCATCTCCGTGTAAGCGGTGCCGGCGGTTCCCGCGGAGAAACTTTTGGTCATGGTCAGTTATGGGTGCGTGTTGGGGGAGAGGGAGAGAGAGAGAGAGGTCTCACATCTTGCCGTTGGCCCTGACGTCCTTGCAGACCCCCACCACGACGGTGGCCGTGGCCGTGACCGAGACGGTCGACGTGAGCGTGACCGAGACGGTCTCGGCCGTGGTCGGGACGACGGTGGTGTCGACGACCAGGGTCTGGGTGGAGGCGGCGGGCGTCTGCGTCTCGGTCACGTAGACGGTCGTGACCGGGGTCGGGGCCGTGGTGACGCTGCCGGTGACGCCGGCGCACGAGCAGGCGCTCGAGAAGCGCGCGGCGCTGGTGCAGGCCGACGCGTAGGCCGGGATCGCCGTGGGCACGACGGTCACGGCTTGGTCGCCGTCGGCGGCGGCGCGCTTCTGCGGCGTGCCGACCGTCTGCGTCTTCGTCTGCGTCACCGTCGCGACCGTGAGCGTCTCGTCGACCTTGACCATCGAGGTGGCGGTGACGGTGTTGACGGTGGTGTCGGTCACCGAAAGCGTCACGACCGGGGTGCCGGCCGTCACCTTGACCGTCTCGGTGTGAGTCCTGGCACGAGGTTTTCTTTAGTTGGCAGGCTCCAAGCAATCTCGGAACACAAAAAAAACCTGGGGCAGGCTCACGATGTCGCCGGCGTGACGGTGGTCACGACGAAGGAGGAGCAGGCCTCGAGACGAGTCGGGAACTGCGTGGCGCGGACGGCGCGGAGGCAGTTATCGGCATTGCATGGGCTGCGGGCCACCGCAGCGGCGGCGGCCAGGGCCGGGAAGGCGAGAGCGAGGACGGACTTCATGGCGACCGGGACGGACTCCACAGATGCTGCGGGGAAGGAAGGGATTCAGCGAGAGGATGAACGAAAGGACAGGCGAGGCCACGTTAATGAAGGGAGAGGAGCCAAGGAGGTTGGATTCGCCTTGGTGTCCCATCTCACCTCTCGTCTCTTGAGGAGCCGGCTCGTCTTGGGCATTTATACACTATTTTGATGTTAGCTACTCGCATCTTGAAGGCCAGCCGAGCTGTGGCGAGGCTCACAAGTCACAAACGACATGGAAGTGCCCTGTCAATGCATTCAGTAGCGCCGCAGATGGCCAATATAAAAATCCAGATTGGGCGCTAGCTCCTTAGCTCCCGAGCCAGACCAGAGCTGAATTGCCGAGCTAGACCGGGTTTACCGTTTCGCTCAGCCGCAGAAATTTGAGCCGCATGCAAAACTTGGTCTCGACCATGCGCACGCCTGATCCGTCCCGGGTTCCCGGGTCCTAGTGCTTGTCCACCCCCGGTCAGCTGAACAGCCGAACAGTTGATGTCGTTGGGGAGCCTGGGCTCAAGACATTCTAGGCCTCCCAGCGGAGGGCCTATCAGTGGTATCCACACGGCGCCATCTCCGTTGACGGCAGTGCATGCGAGCATATACGAGGCGCGGTGAAGAGCTGTTATGGGGGTGCCGAGGGGGGAGCACGCCCGGATCAAAAAAAAAAAACGGGACACTTTTCAATTTTTGCCCCAGTGCATACCACCACCAATTGAAAGGTGTTTCGTTTTTTTGACCAGACCGTGGGGAGGTGGTCGAGGTCTCCGATATTCCGAGAATAGCGCATGGATATCTGATAGTGAGAAAGGCGCTGCCAAAAGTGGAGACTCTAGACCTGCCGGGAGCAAATTGCAGGAGAAAATGCTCCGGACGCTCAACCAAGCCTCCCAGTGGCGCCGCGGCGGCAAGCGATCCGTGGCTGCCAAGCTCCTAGACGTTCCCAAGCTAAGTAGGAACACGCCATCCCCGGCGGTGAGGCCTTCACCGTCCCCACTTAAAATATGTCCCGCGGGTGCCCCTATCTCGAACCGCGGCTCTTTTTGCCGCCTGTGTTTCTCCGGGAAACCCATCTCTTAGAGCACACCGCCGTGTCGAGATCCCTTGGGCCTAGCCGTCATCAAGGCTCGGCCACACTTCTTTGCGGATTTGAAGGCCTAGCACGACACCGAAACAGCAAACATTATCCACAGGACTCTAAGGGCGACCCGACGGCCCTCCTCGTGAATTTAGGCTACCTTGACGGGGAGTTGTGGCGCCGTGCCACGCAGAGGTACTTGATTGAGGTCAAGTCGACGACGGGGCCACATGTTGCGCCCTTCCACATGGCGTTGGCTTATACAAACCGTCCGTTGCTGCTAATTGCAACCCGCTCACCTATCTTGATGTCCCTTCACACTCCAGTACAATCTTCTCTCGGCCCTATTCCCGCTCGACGAGCTTGGTGATGGTGGTGCCCTTGTAGAGTGACTGCTGAGCCTCGCAGCTGTTGCTAGCAAGGCCTGCTTTTGTGCATTTCTGCGTACCTCGAGCCAAAGGGGTCTCCTGCTCCTTGCCCTCCCCCAAAGCTCGTGGTACAGGTATACCCTTCAGGCCTACTAATACAGACACTCGTTCCTGGCCGCCTCCTCGGAACCAAGTTCTCCTATTGTCTCTCACTGAGAGACCTCCATGCGAAAAGGTTGGAGTTATATGGTTCTAGTCATCCTAGACCAAACCCTCGTCCTGACGCTAGAGCAAGACCTTGCGCAGGAATATATACTCGTTTAGGCACTCGCTAGCCCCGGCCCCTCACTTCAGAAGAGCTGGCTGATGGCACGAGCGCGACGGGTCCCTCCTCGCCATCGCCGTTTCGACCCCGGCTGGCAGTGCATCAAGCTGTACACGCCCACATGGTGCCACAAGACTCTTCGGTTCGACCGTGGCGAGGGGAGAACGTAGGGCAGGATCAATGAGGGTTCGCCGAAGGAAAAAGATAGTTGTTTAGTTCACGTGGCGGCGGCTCCCACAGCGCCATTCCCTGTGGTCGTCTTGGCGTAACTCGTTTCTCGTCCTTTCTCCTGCGTCTGCATCTGCGCCTGCCCCATCCCGACCCTTGTTGCTCTACGCTTTCTGCGCCAGCGCCGACAGCAAAAGAAGCAGCAGGCGACGATCAGGATGAAGCAGACGGCGGGCGGGACGGCGACCAGGATTATCAAAGAATCCCAGCTTGGGCCCGATTCTGACGGCTGGCAGGTCTGCGTCGGCGGCGGGTCGCTGGGCACCCAACTCGCCATCCCCCAACCGCTGGTGCTGCAGATTTGCGGCGGCGGCGGCGACAGCGTGCTGGCGTCGGTCGGCGCCCACATAATCTGCCACGCCTTATGCACTCGCGGAATGCCGGCGGCGTCGGCCGTGGGCGCGACCTCGTCGCTCCTGGTGGTGGTGGCGGTGGACGATGGGAGCGTGCGTGGCGGGACCTTCCAGCACGCGGGGGAAATGCGGTTTGAAACCGAGCTGGGGAGATCGTCAGGATATCCCGGAGCCCCTGACCAGCCCGGAGTGAAGCCCGGCGCGCAGCATTGCGCCGTCGTGAACGTGTACAAGGACACACTAGTGGAAGGCTGTAGAGCGCTCAGAGCTGTGCTCTTGAGAGAGAGCTGGTACCCCGTCCAACCGCTCGGGCACACGGCAGGACTAAAGGTCAAGTGGTCTTCGGGAGCAGTCTTGTTCATTCCAGGCGGCCGGCAGGCCGCGAAGCGGGGATTCGTTGTGTCCGAGACGAGGATGGGGAGCGTCACGGACGTGCTGTTCCGCCCGGCGCCGCGAGTTACAATGGTCGACGTGCTCCATAGATCTGCGCATGACGCCGCCTGCACGAAGGGCGTTGTCATGGCGGCGAACGACGTCGCCGTCGTCGCGGGTGACATGGCGGTGCGATCCATTGACCGAGTGGATATTTGGGAGGGCGGAAGACGAACAGAAATGTCGCTTGGAGATGTAAGCCTGGAGGGAAAGGGGACGTCCTCCCACTATGTAAGCTGCGCGCCTCCGCTTGGCAGGGCAAATGCAGCATCCCGGTCGAGCGCTGGGCGAGGTTGTTGTGAAAGTGGGCGCTGCCTTGTATTAAAGACCATGCGGATCCGGGATTTTATGCAAAATTTTCTTTCGGGAGTGCCTCGAATCCTTACTGGTTGGGATTTCAAGCGCCTGGTGTAGTGCTGACGAACCACCATTTACCTCCTAAGGCGCTCTTTATATGCCTACTATCGTGCAGGTGGCCAACTTGGGGGCTCCAAGGATTCCATCATATAGTTTGTCCACCGTTGTGGAGGCCAGAACGGTGCAAGACCCAGAGCTCGGCCGCCAATTCGTGGGTGTAGAAGCTATGTATGATAGTTTCGTGGACCGGCTGGCAAAAACTTTGCGAGCGTGTCCGCAGAGCCTGAGAAAGCCAGCTTGTAACAAGTGGAAGCCTTTCGGGACACCTGGCCGGCAACTCGCGCGTCGTGTGCAGTCTCGTTGCGAGGCGGGGTCGTGCTGATTGCGTGCCAGACGCCTCGAGAGCCTTCAGGCTCCTCTTGGGAAGAAATCGAGTATGACTCTGGAAAGGAGTCCGGCGATAAGGGTGAGGGGTCGGCGGCTGCCGCGAGGACGCGTGGGTTGAAATACTTGTGGATGAAGTTGCAGGTAGGCCCGTGGATGTCGCCACCAATGTCTTCCCGCACATCGGTCATCTCTGTGCCGGAGGTACGAACAGCCATGGTAAATAGGTTGAAGGTGGTGCGAGGATCAAGCCAGTCCCAGGGCTATGGCTGGGGGATCTTCGTCGGGCCCCACCATACCCGCGGCAATCATTGACTCCCCACCAATGTGACAGTTCTGTGGCGCTCCTGCCACTCCACAGTCTCAGCGACGACTTGGGCGCCTAGTGCAGTTCCCTCCCCAGGATCGATGGCGACAACAAAAGCAGCTGTTGTGTGGATCAACGGCTTCCCCGGGTGTGGAAAACTCACCGTGGCCACGGCAATCAGGGCACTGGACAAGACGGTCATCGTCCTGGACAACCACAAACTGATCGACCCCGTTGAGGAGCGGGTTGCGCGTACCCATCCCAGCTACCAGCACGAACGCCGATGCTTCCGTCAGGCCGCCCTAAAGGAGAATGTCTGCGACCCCGCCGGACTCTCGCGTCTTGTCGTCTTCACGGGTAACGCACCTGACCTTTGCATACCGTGGATCCTGCCTTGAGTAGTGCTGATGACGTTGGTCGAACAGATTTCCAGTCGGACAATGAGCTAGGCTGGGCTGTAGCCTCGGAGTACAAGGATGCCACTATCAGCGCCGGTCGGTCGTTTGTCCCCGTCTATCTAACTTGCGATGTGGCCACCAATCTCGAGCGCGTCACCAGCATCGCCCGCCTCACGAGCAGGACGACCAAGCTCATTGATCGTCGCGCCCTGGAGGATATACGTTCGCGGTGCGAGCTGTTTCGCTTTCTTGACTGCCCGAGCCTGACGGTCGATTCGAGCAATCTGACGCCGCTAGATGCGGCCGCAGAGATCCTAGCATTTGCCCGGGGAGCTGCTTCGCCGCGGGCGTCACTGGTCGAGGGGATGAGCGTCCCACCCGGTTTGGCTGGACTGGCAGAGCGAGCCAAGCCGCAGCCTAAAACCGTCTGCTTTCCATGTTTTGCTACTTCGTGCTCTTTGCAGCTCTTCTCGGAGACATTGCTACCCTTCCTTTCTCGCTTGATTGTTCCAGTGGAAATCCTCCGAATCTCAGATGTCTATTCGACCGAGATCTCAAATTGAGGCGAGCCTCGAAATTGGCGCGATTCGTTTCTACGAAATTCCGCTCCTGGGTACGCGCGATGAGAACAACACAAGCATCCAGGGCCTGGAACTGGCCTATTCCCGCTCTCCTGATACGGTGGCAGCCTTATCCGGCTTATGTTCCCTTTGCAACGCCTTTGATAGCTGGCTACAGTTCATCTCTGGCTCGGATCGTATGCACAGGTCCCGGAACGAATTCCGGGAGCCCACGCTTCTACATCTCATGGTGGTCGACACGCGAGCAGGATTGTCGAGCCATGTTGGCGTTTGTACAGTGCGTCTGAGGCGGACCGGAGCCCTCGTCTCGGACAGCATGCCCTTGGAGACCCTGTGGGCAGACACGGTCGACTTGGGGTGAAAGCTTGTCACCTTGGCTTGAAGGGAAGACTTGTTAGACTATGGCTCAAACTGCTAAATCCAATTCCACAGGAAACCTACTAGCAATGACATGTCCCGGAAGCGCTTGCAGAAAATCTTCACTGCTGGGAACGTTGTGATCACGGATTTTCATGGAGTTGTTAGGACGCCAACCGGCTCGCCAGAGGTTCGACTCCACAAAAACGTCAACAATCGGCAAGGTATCTCAGCGCTAGCCTGGGAAGAAAATGAACAGGGCGTCTGCTGAGCACCTGTTTCTTACTCTCAGTCACCGACCAAGAGATTTCAGTGAATTTACTGCCATGTCCCGTCAGTATCGAAACTCCTCCCAGCCACCACATCGACGACACGGCGCTCCCGCAAGCCTTCATATGGGCCTACCAACATGGGACTACCGAGCCTGCCGCCACAGCTTGGCACTCGATAGTGCCCCCGGGATACCGCGCCCATCTCTTCCGCGAACAATAGGCGCAGAGACAGGGCCTAGGCCTTGCCGACCCAAGACCCCCTGCCGGATGCTAGCTGCGACTTTGTGTGGGTTGCCTGTGAAGCCATGTGTCGGAGCCGGCCGAGGTGGCAACCCGCGCCCACCCCCCTCCCCCACGACGGAGAAAAGATTCTGTCCAAGCCTATCATACTATACAGCCAAGTCGGTGAATCGCGGCTCCGTCGTTTGTCTCGTAGCTCGCTTGTGTGCGCGGTGGAATGATTGCCGTCTTGCTAGAAAAGACTTCCGCTAGGTCTCGGCTAGCGCTTGGTGGATGGCCTTGGGCCTATAAAGAAGAGGGGCGGCTTGGTGCCCCCGGCTTTCTAGTTACCCATGAATACGATAGGGATACGGTTTGAATACGATAAGTCCTTGTCCAAGGGCCCGCGATGTTTTTTTTTAGGACGGACGGCAAGCTCCAAGGCCCACTCAGCTTCATCTTCCAAGGAACAAAGGTGATCACCCTTGCAGACTAGGTTGAGTGCCCATTCGTACCCTCACCGTTCTTTTTTCTTTTCATTTACTTGTCCCTTTACCGGGCCTTCCCATGCTGCACAGACACGTCCCTTCTGACCATGACACCACTCCGTAGGCCGTGGCCGTCCACCAGGTCCTCCTGGCTGCTGTGGTGGGACCGGGTTTCGGCGGTGGCGCTGGCCGAAGCGGTGCCGCGACCTACGGGCTTTAGCACCAACCCGGGCTGCTCGCGGTCGACCGTGTCGTCCATCGTGCCGCCGCCGCCGCCGCCGCTTCCGCCCCTGAGCTTCTGGGACCTCTGGGACCTGGGGCCGGCAGACTCGCCGTCGACCTGCGGGGCGTAATAGGCGCGATGGGTCTGGGAGTAGAACTTTGCCGAGCGGTAGAGGCCGGGGCCCGAGACAATCATGATGGCTGCAAGGCCGAGATCGGCCAGTTTAAGAAACGAGAAAAGAAGGGGCCATGGGATCAGAACACAGAAGCGTACCGATTGAGGCCTCGATCGTTCCCCAGAGCGCGAGCCACGGCACTGTAGGCTGCTTGCCCGGGCTGGCGAGCTGTGTGACGCGGATGGTGGAGGCGGTGATAAGAATCCAACCGAGGCAGAAGAGGGAGATGATGCCGATTTTGCGGGAGCCGGGCATTTGGAGGTTCATGACGAGACGGATGGGGAGAAACATGACTGTGATGAAAGGGAGGGTTAGATACCAGGTTTCCCCAGCAAAGACGCAGAGCAAGATTCGGATCACGCAGGCAGCTCTTACTCATTAGGTCCGTCAGCACGCCCACAGCAAAAGCATACCACATGCTGATGTTGGCGTGAATGATGTCTCTCGGGGTAAGGCACTGGCCAGCGCTAAACCACGCCTCCCAGGAGGAGCAGACGTAGCAGAGGTAATAATACAACCAACAAGGGCCTGGCACACAAGTTGCAAGTCGGTGGGAACATTCAGAAGGTTTGGAGCACAGCAATGTAAAATTCACTTATCAGGGCGCTAAATACAACCACGGCCCACCACATCTGGACGTAAATGGGAAGGCCGTCGCAGATTTTCTTGTACATGCAAAGAAGGGAGAACTTTGCCGACCACAGGCAGAACCAGCGGCATGCCGAGGCGGCAAAGAGTGTCTTTTGGATAAAGACGGCGTCGTCCCCGGCGGTAGCGTACGGCGGGGTGAGCCCAGCGGCCAGGTCGGTCAGGCGGAAGAAGGCCGGGACGATGTAGAGGTACAGGACGCTGATGGCCATGAAGAAGACGTAGGCGGCAAAGAGCTACAGGTCCTCGGCCGCCAGGCGGCGCTGCTGGTGCAGCATGAGGCCGACGCGGGCGAAGACGACGATGGAGGTCAGCGCCATCATGGCGATGCCCGTGGGCGCGATGTCGCCCCGGGGGATGGGCGTTTGGTCCATGTCGGGCGGGCGGGAGCGTACGAGGGTTCGACAGTGAAGGGAGGGAGGGCGAGCTGTCGATCGTGGGAGGAGGTCACGGCTTGATGCGTTCGTGCATCTGCGTGCGTGATCTATCTTCAGCGAGCAGGATCGGGATAAGAGAGACGGAAGGGCCACGAAAATAGAGAAAACATCAGGGTTGCGTGTCAATCCCTCTTGATTAAGGCAAATCACTTTTGGCAGTAGACCGCCAGCCGATAGGGTGAGAATGGGCAACAAAGGGCTCTGCTGCCGTTCCCTGTGTTGGTGACGACCGACAGGTAGTCTTGACGACGACGCGAGTTAAAGGCCTCCTAGATCCTGTCTGGCTGGGGGAGAGCCGTAAATGGCAATGTGGTCTTGTTCTCAGTCTTTTTCTCTTTCTTTTCCTCCCTTTCCCGTATCCTCCTCGTCCTCTCGTCCATGGCCCCCATCTCGGTCTTGAGTATCACCAGATAACGTCCTTTGAGTGCGCGCGCTGTACTTCTTTAATATATAGAAGATGCATGCTTCTGGATTTCACTTGAAGATAGCTTCGTCGATCAAGCTGCAAGCGTTCAGGGGTAAAAATGCCGGGCGGCCTAGTCTCCCGACGAAATGCCTGTTGAGGTTCGAGTCATGCACGGTGAGATGCAACTCCCGGGGCGGTGTGTCTGCTTGACCGCCCCTGAGCAACCGACTCAGATCCTACCTTGACGCCTGGGAGCACTGCTTGGTTGAGTATGGAGATGGAGAAAAGGATGGGCAAAAGAGAAGAACAAGAAGAGGGAGAAATGCCACGTCACACCGGCGTCCCACATGCCATGAGGCCGTGGCCTCTGCCAACCATACATCAAGGTCTGTAGGGTGCGCAAGCGCGCCAAAGAGCACCCGCCCGCGCCGTGTCCGTGGCGGCCCGTCAATCGTTTGCCTTGTAACGACTTGGCCTATTTGGTCGAGGTTGTCGAGGTTTCGAGCAGGTGGACGTTAATCTGCGTCAATGGAGCGCGCTAAATCCCAGAGCCCTGGTGAGCCCGCCTGGGCTTCTCATCTCACCCTGGACTTTCCCTCTGCCCTCGCTAGCGCGCGGGTTTTGTTACCTCGTTCGTTGCAGTATGGTTGTCGGCTCGGTGGTTGTTCTGCACGGTAAGGGTCGTCCCTCACCGCCCCAGCTGTGGAGAGACCGCGGCCGCCTGGCTCAACCGCACGCTGGACCCAGTCTCGCGTCACCGTCGCGTGGCACCACGGTCTGCAACCCGATGCCTACCACCCCACTACCTAGGCCCTTATGATAACGGACCCCTCCCGAGTTCCCGGACGTGCCGGTTTTCGGGTGGGTTTGGCCCCGCAACTCCCGCGTGGGAAGCATATAAACCAGCCTCAGCCATGCCGTCGCCAACTGGTAGAACCTAAGACGCTCGTCTCTCGACTACATCGCTCGCCTTGATCGCTTTCGCGTCCCTGCTCGTATTGGCCTCTCCGGAAGGAGTCGTGCCCGCCATGAAGAACGTCTGCTACCTGGCGGCCCTGGCCCTGGCCCTGGCAGGCCGAGGCGCCCTCGCTCAATCCGACTTCGAGGCCGACAACTTCAACGCTACCGACGCCCTGTTCAAGCAAGGGATCGACGTCAACACCCTGCCAGGGTTCGACGAGCTCCGAAAGAGCCAGGACAGCAGTGCTCCTTTGGAGAAGCGCGGCTGTTTTTCTTGCACCGTGGCTGTATGTGTATCTGCCTACGCTTTGGTCCGAACTACCGGATCAAGCACACCCGCTGACCTCTGCCTCCCTCGCGATACAGTGCGACTCCCTCAAGCTGCTTTATGGCTCCGAGAAGGTCCTCCTGAAGGACAAGGACGGCTACAGCGATTTTGTTGGCGGCTACTGGTCCGACAACCAGGCCCAGGTCCGGCCCGCCTGCGTCTTCAAGCCCACGTCGGGCCTCGAGGTTTCCAGCGCCGTACTGCTGTCCCGCGTGACCCGCTGCCCCTTTGCCGCCAAGAGCGGCGGCCACGCGGCCTTTGCCGGCGCCTCGAGCATCGAGGACGGCGTCACCATCTCGTTCGCCAACATGAAGGACGTGACCCTCTCAGCCGACAAGAGCATCGCGTCGGTGGGGCCCGGCAACATCTGGGGCCCCGTGTTCGAGGAGCTGGCCAAGTCGGACTTGACCGTCATCGGCGGCCGGCTCTACAACATCGGCGTCGGCGGGCTGACGACGGGCGGCGGCATCTCGTACTTTTCCAACACGTTCGGCTGGGCCGCGGACAACGTCGAGAGCTTCGATGTCGTCACGGCCTCGGGCCTGATCGTGCGCGCTAGCGCTACCGAGTATCCAGACCTGTACAAGGCCCTCCGCGGCGGTGGCAACAACCTGGGCCTCGTCGTCAACTTCAACCTGCAAACCGTGCCGCTGCCCGGCGGCAAGATGTGGGGCGGGTCAAAAGTCCACACCGAGGACAAGTTCCCCGAGGTCGACCGCGCCTTCGCCAACCTCATCGCCAACTCGGCCGATGACACCAAGGCGGGGCTCTGGCTCGTCCACTACCAGCAGGCGCCGGGCGTCAACCTGGCCCTCACGACACTGTGGCACGCCGACCCCGACGGCGGGAACAAGCCCATCTTTGCCGAGTTCAACGCCATCGCGCCCGTCTCCGACGATACGAAGCCGCGCGTCCTGGGCGAGTGGGGCAAGGAGACCATGGCCCAGAGCCCGCCGGGCCTGCGCGAGACCTACTACACGCTCACCGTCAAGGCTGACGTCGGCATCCTCGAGTTCGCCCGCAAGACCTACTTCGAGAGCGTCGGCGACGCCGTCGGCGACGTGCCGGGCGTCCTGCCCAACATGGTCACGCAGGGCATCACGATCCCGCAGCTCGAGCAGATGCAGAAGAACGGCGGCAACGCGCTCGGGCTCAGGCCCGAGGACGGGCCCCTCTACATCATCATGATAGCCTCCATGTGGAAGAACAAGGAGGACGACGCGCGGGTGCAGACCTTCATGTCGGACGTGATGCGCAAGGTCAAGGCCGAGGCCAAGGCCCGGAAGCTCGACCACCCCTACATCTACATGAACTACGCCAGCCAGTACCAGGACGCCATCGCCAGCTACGGCGATGAGATAAAGGCCCGCCTCAAGTCGGTCGCCTCCCGCTACGACCCGGCCGGCGTCTTCCAGCTGCTCCAGCCCGGCGGCTTCAAGCTCGACCGGGCCCCGACCCCGGACGCGGCCTTCTTCTCGCACTAAGCGCAGCGGGCATGGTTGACTAGCGACCTACAGTCTTAATTAGTAAAACTTAAATTTCTGTGTTCCCCGTCTTTTGTGTGACCTTCCAAACACATCCGCTTGAAAATGCTACAAAACAAATTAGGTTGTCTTCTTTTTTAAACCTCCCGTTCCTGCTTCGGAAGCGGAGACACAGGGCTCACGGCCGGAGTCACCACCACACCGTCCCGCCCCGTCTCCCCGTCACCCCCTGTCGAGACCCCAACCTCCTGTGTCCCCACAACAAGATCGAGCTTTTGCGGCGGCCCGCATCCCTCCATCTCGTGAATCTCATGGGCGGCGACCTCGTACGTCTCGCGCGGGTCCGGCCTCTCCCGGTCATGCTCCCTCCCGCCAAGCTCCCAGTGGATCTCCTTCTCCATCAACTCGGGCTTGAGGTCCAGGGCCCCCGCGACCGCACCCACCGCGGAGCCGTGGCCGCCCGAGCCCTCGAGCTCGGCCTTGGAGAGGCTGTGGTCGCCGCTCTTGTCGCCACCCCCGACGCCGCCGCCGCCGTCGTCGTCCCCGGTCTGCTTGGTTCGTTTCCCCCCCGCCAGCCGGCGGAGGCGCAGGTCGTAGCCCACGACGCCAATGATCAGGGCGGCGAGGGCCGCTGACCCGATTGCAATGGCCGCGATGACCTCGGGCTTTAGCGGCGGGGTCTGGGGGCTGTCGTTGGCGGGTGTGGTGGTGCGGTTGTTCTGGGTGTCATTGTCGTGCGGTGGAGCCACAACGTTATCACGGACCTGAAACCTGACGCTGGACGCGGTGAAGTTGAAGGAATCGAAGGCCTTGCTCGGGGAGATTTCCATGTAGATCACGAACTGCGGGTACAACTGGCGCTCCGCGGCTGATATCTGATCTTCTTGGCGCCATACCCAGTTCTGGCTCGACAGCTCGACGCTGGCACGGTCGGGGGCGCGTTAGTTCACAGGGCGATCCAGACGTGAAAACGGCTGCCGACCATATAAGTCTTGTCAGGAAGCGCTCAATGTGAGACTCACTCGTCTGCGAGCTTCCGGATGCCGACGTTGCCTGAAGACCTTGTTGAATTCCGGCCCAGTAGCTCGATCCTCACATAACCCAACGCCCCGGCAGGCGCAGCCCATCGGATTGTATAATTGCTGCCAAGCGTAATCATCTCGTTTGCGCCGGGACTGATGATTGTGATCGAGTTCGAGGTGTCCGCGGACCCCTGAGCGTCTGCAGTGGCCACGAGGACGGCGACCAGGTTGAGACACTGGAGCAAGCGGCCGAGTGCCGAGAGCAAAAACATTGTGTAGGGCGCCGTGGCCATGATTCGCACCACCGAGGGGAGACGGAGTCGACGGCAGAAGCCGTGACCAGATCTTGGGGACGAGACGCCGAATTATGCAAAGCCAGGGGAGACGACCTCCCTTCCACGTCTCCGTGTTCCATCTTAATTCCCCCACTATAGTCCCTAGCAAACTGCAGTCAGCAATTCAACCAAGATTGACGAGCAATAGAGGCGGCTGGGGTTACATGAGGGGGGCTGTGGCTCGACATGCAAGGCACTTTTCCAGTCACGCTGCCCCCGCCCCTCATTTGCTCAGGGCTGTCAGCCGTGCCGCTGCCATATTGAGAGAGAGGATTGGACGGGCCGCGCACAACGGCACCAGGGGTAAGGGGCAAGGCGATGAGCAAGAATGATACGTCTGGCATCCATTGGCCAATTAGAGGGCTGCCCGCTTATGGGGGGCCTTGCAGTTGATCTTGCATGAATCTGCGGGTACGGTGCCCAACTGCCAGCCGGTCCAGGAACATAGAAAGTTCTGCGGAGCAAAAAGCCGCGCTGGTGGGATCCTAATTATTCACATTCGTCCCAGTACCGCGAGACTGGTCGCTGCGCCGAGTTCTCCTCGAACACATCCTCGAGCCTTGTCCTGAACGCCACACGCTTCGGCACACTCCGGCCCAATGCCGCCGCCGCCGTTCTTGGTCTTGTCCTCATGATTCCCTTGACGCCTGGTCCATTCCCCCCTGCTCCCGGCCCCGTTGACTCTGCGGCCGCTTCCCTCCCCGCCGCGGCCGGGGCAGCCCGCCCGCGCCCTGGGCAGCGCCAGCGGGGCAACCGCCGCCGTCGACGCGCAACACCGGGGCAGGCCTTTGCCCTCCATGGAGCTCAGGCCGCTCGCGTCGTCGATCCACTCGCGGCCCTCGTCGTGGATGTGGTACATGGCGTGCAGGTCGCCCGACATGGGCTGCCGCGCCAGCGGCCGGTGCCGATCTGGCTTGAGCGGGTACGGAATCACGAGCGCGAGCCTCGGGGGTCCCCTGTCCCTAGTCCCACGTCCTGTCGCCGGCCGGCGAGACTTTGCGTCCGTCCCCGACGTGGGGATCATGACCCAGGACAGCTCGGCCTCCCCCGTGGCCGCGTGGCCGCCCCGCCACCCGTTGGGGTTGTAGAAGCTGACGGGGCATGGGATGCATCGCTTGGCCGGTCTGACCCGGTCGAGGTAGCGGACTGGCGGCTGGGTGCCGAACAGCGACCGCACGTGCCCTTCAGGTCCGTTGAAGGGGAAGATGAGAGCCATTGGTGGAACCCGGGGGAGTGACGAGGAGAGCAGAAGGCTTTCTGTGATAGAAGACAAGACATGGGAACATCGTAATGGTTTTTGTACAAGGAACAAGAGAAAGTCATCAAAGCTGTTTCGCTTAGAAACGGCTTGATGGTGGATATTATAAACGGGATATTCGACTTCAAGTGCGGAAATTTACCAGATGGGATCACCACCTGGAGAGCGGCGCCTCGCCCCAAATATCCCTTCCCCCCTCCCCGGGACGATGCGATTCGGGTGTTCTCTAGCATAAAGTCAGACAAGGAACATCCAAAAGCCGAGGCGCCGAAGGACCGCGATCCTTCTGTGCCCCCATTGGTCACCGAGGATCATCCGGCTCGACAAAGCACCCGAGAATGAGACCCATGATGGGACGGATAGTATATAAGTGCCCGTATACTGACCTCTGATATCACGCTGCAGAGAATAATATGTCAGATGCAGAGAACTGTCCAAAGTTTGCTTGACAGTGGTCCCGACCGCGAACGCCGATGTTGGGTTGGCCAGGCTGGTGTGAGGTTGGAACGGAAAGAGGTCTGTGTAAGTGGCCTGGACTTCTGACAGCCGGGAATAAGACGAAGACCGAGGGCTGTCTGGTCATCCCATGTCACACGGGGATTGAGCCGGCGACCCAGTAAGACCGATTGGACGGCCAACAGGACGAGTCACAAGACAGCGATAGGGAACTGGGCGTTGGTTGGGCCGGCTGGAAGGGTCACAAAAACCCCGCATGCATTACGCGCCCGGTCGAAGGAAGGTTTATTCCTTTCGACCCCAAGTACATACCCTTTTCGTAAAAACCAAATGGCTTATAAAAAGAAAGCTCATCTTTAAGGTTTTTACTGGAAATTCTGCTTCCTTAAGCATTTCTTAAAGGCTTTAAAAAATTATTAATATATTAAGCACTTTCCAAACCAATCCCAAATTCCTTTGTAATAAATAATTTTTTATTTTTTCGGAATTGCTTTAATTATACCTATACCTTTGTTAGGAAAAGGTATAACCAATTTAAATTTTTCCCAAATACTTACTTGCATTTATAAGCTTAATTTTTTTCCTTATCGCGCAAATCTTTAACAACGTTACCGCAATTGTACGCTTTTGGGCAAATAACCAAACCGGTAAGCCGAAATTTGCCCTTATAAACGAAAAAAGCCTTATTAAATTAGGTATTTCCCCTTTCCGTTGCTAATATTGCACCCGCCCCGCGTTTAAAGGATTGCGGTTTTGCACTTATTATTTTACAAAAACCGAACGCGACCAACAATTACGTTAAAAACCGACTTTAACGTTGGTTACCTTTACAACGGATCCCAATAAGCCCTTGCAATCGGCTACCCCGCAACCGTTTGCTAAATTAATCGATAAATCCTTTAACCCGCTCGTTGCTTTAAGCAACAAACCCGTTATTGCCTTTAAAAGGCCACGAACGCTTTCCGGGTTAATCGACCCGCATTAAATAACCTTACCGATAGCTACAAAATTCGCAATTATCGGTAAAAATCGTTTCGTACGGGTTAAAAAGCAACAAAAAAACTTCCAACAAAACCTAACGGTTTAAATTAACGTTTTAACCAAAAACTTTAACCACGCCCGTAATTCCATACGTTTTATCCTTACCCAAGCAAATTAACAATACGAATCCACTTTATAGCTTTTCGAAAATAGCAAAATTAAACGGACAACCTACGAAAAAATTGTTGCACAACGTATCGACATTATCGAAAAGCGTTTTTGTTACGAAGCAAACCAAGCCCTTAATAGCTTTGCTTAACAAATCGAATCCATATAAAAAAACCTTTTTGCCTTATTACAATAAATCCAAATACAAAAAAAAACCACCAAAAAATAATTAGCTATTTTCCAAAAAAATAAAAAAAACAATTAAAAAAATTTGCTTGGCTTTTGCCCGGCAAAAGCAAAAGTACGACCTTTTTAAACAAAAGCTTAATCGATTTTCGCTTTTAACCTACGCGGTAAAAGCCAACGCCGAAAATACAAACCTTTTAAACGAAATTAAAGCACGTTATAAAAACTTCCACAAAAAAATTACTAACAATTCGAAACAAATTTAATAATAAAATAACGCTATTACCGTTTTAAAGTACAACTTTAACGTAATAACCGAGCTTTATTAAAACTATTTTAAACAAATTTCCCGCATTATTTCGCCAAAACCTTTGCCTACGTACAACAAAAATCGACGCGCTTTTATCGAACCTTTTTCGCTAAACGCAATTATAGCAAACGGCGAGCAAATACCCAAACCCCGGGGCCGGGCTTTTTTTTAACCTTTTAAAAATACCCAAAAAGCTACCAACGGTAACAACGCGGCCCTTTCCGAAAGCGGCGCATCGAAACCCGCCCCCGAATTACAAAAATTTCGGTTATCCCATTCCCGCGCCCCCAATAAAAACCGAACAAAACAAAATACCCCCATGTTCGACCCAAATACGGGAGCCATCGTGCTTTACACCGTTTTTACTTTTAACGAACTTTAGCAAAGCAACGGCGAAAAACAACTTTTGCCCGTTACCCAAAAGCCAAATTACCAGCCACGTATTTCGGGGGACCCCATATACGCTTAATAAATAAAAAAAATCCATAACGGCCTTTAAATACTTTACCAAACAATTTTAACCTTCCGGCATAAAATTAAAAACCTTTTACAAATTACCGAACTCGTTTAATTCCAAATGGCAAAATTGCGCTAATAATATAATTTTACCCGCTAAAATTATATAACGGTATTTTAAATCGTTTAAAACGGCGTAACCATTTCCAAAGCACAAGCCCGAAATTTTAAAAAAAAATAATCGAAAGCAATAACCTATTTGCCGCTAAAATGTAAAATATTATCGCTAAATCCGCTAACAACAATGTTACCCGCAAATACGCTTATAATAAAATAACCAAAACATACAAAACTTACCAATTTGCAATTAAAAACATGCACCGTTGCTTCGTTTATATTATCGAAACCGTTAAGCAATGGGCGGGCCATACAAAATATAAAATCGTTTATACCGAATAAAAGCTGGACAACTTTAAAAAACGATAAAAAGCTATAGCAATACACCTTTTAACCATTTTAAAATAATAACAAACGTTTGCCGAAAACATTATCGCTAAAATTAACCAATAACTAGCCAAAAGCAAGCAAATAAATACAACGGTTATATTATTACAAATCGCCTTTTGCCAAACCTTTCGCTAAATTATACCCGCCGCTATTAGCGCGCTTTTAATTTCGGTCTTTTTCGTTTAAATACCGGCCATTCGATTATCCGCGTTCCGGACCAACCTTACGCGGACCAAAACCAATTCGGTACTTAATTTAGCCCTTTCCGTTTTAAAACAATCCAATTCGATGCATTGCCAAACCATACGAAAGGATTTTGCCGGATTTATAACCGCTATGCATTAATAAACCCGGAAAAGCTTTTATTTTTAAATATTTAGCATAACCAATAAAATACCCCTAAAAGGAATTTCGTTACAACAACCCCCAATGCTACCAAAAAATAACCTTTCGTTTTTCGATTTAAATAAAAATGGACCCGGTTAGCCCTTTATGCTTCCGCTTCGCCCACGAACGGGCTTATCTTCGGCAAGTAAAAACCCTTCCCGTTAGCACGGAACGGTTTTTATAATTAACCCCGTTTTATTTAAATTACCCCCCGTTTTTAACAAAAAAAAACGAAATTTAAAGATTGGTAATATTTAATACGGGCCTTTATAAACGCCGTTCCCCAAACTTTTACAAATAATAACCACAAAATTTTTTAAGTAAATTTTTACTTTAAAAAAGCCGCATTACGCGTCCATATAAAAAAAGCACGGATATTGGAAGCTTACAAACTCCCCAACACTTAAAACGCTTACTTTAAATTTTTAGCCAATACGTTTTACAACCTTAACGAAAAACGTACGGATTCCATTAAATTGGATAATTTCGAATACAAAAACAACGTCGTCGGGTTTTTTATAAAATTAACCCAATTTAATGCAACCGTTAAATTAACCGGCACCCGTTTTAAAAATTTCGTTAAAAAAAAGCTCCCGAACGAAATAAACCGGCTCGTTTACGCCAATAAAAAGCGCATCCCCAACGTAAACAAAAAATTTTTAAAGTCCTTCCAAAAAGCCGGCATTACTTACAAATTTATAACGGCGGACAAAAGCATATTCCAAAAGCACTACAAAAACCAAAGGCTTAAAAAAAGGGAAAAAGCAAGCCCGCTTCGACTTTAAAGCGCTCGAACGCGGGCCGTCCCCGCAATAAAAGCTTTAAAAAAACCCCCGGCCTATCCTTAAACTCCCGTACCGCAACAAACAAAAAAATAAACCCCGGCCAAACCCGCAAAAATAACGTTTAAACCATTACCCAAGGCGCTTTTAATAGCGTTAACCAAAAAAATATTAATACCCGAAAAAAGGACGGTATTAATTGCTAACAATGCGGGCAAAACAACCATTACACCCGGAAATGCTTTGCCAAAAAAAATACCGTAAGCATTAAATTTCCCCCGCTTTCCGCGAAAATAACCGCCGGTGCCAAAAAGCCCGCCATTAAACCCTTACCAATAAAAAAAAAAGCTAAAAAGCGCTTTAACAAAAAGGTTAAAATAGCCGAAATAACCAAGCACGCTTTTAAACCAAACCATAACCGATACTTTAAAAAAGTCGATACGGATTTTAATTGCTAAAAATTAAAGGTTTCGATAACAATACCCAAAAGGCTTTGGGGAAGCAACAACGCCACCCAAACCGTTATTTGCGCCTTTTTACAAGCCCGAATAACGGGATCGACCCGGGTAATTACGAAACCCATATTAAATATGGCCTTGCAAATTAAAAGGCAAAAAAAAATTACGGTTAAAATCTTCCTAAATTGCAACAACGATAACGGGTTTTTTATTTTTACCCAAATAGCCGCCAAATTACAATTACATATTACCAAACGAACAATTTCCAAACCTATATCCAATTATACAAAATAAAAAGAAAACCCGTTAATTTATTACATACCCCGGGTTATTTTGCAACATTATAACCACCGCTTTCGCGTAAACCTTAATGTATTAAACCTAAATCCAAACTGCAACGTTTTGTTACCCGTTTAATGGATAACCCGCTATTACTTTACTAAAATTTTTAAACGGAACCACGAAAACATCCGGTTTAATACGGACAAATACAAATCGTGCCGCAAACCCCGGTCCCGCAGGATTTTTAACCTTTGCAACCCGGCAAACATTTGCAATACAAACCCGGCCACCGTTATTTTGGTTAAAAGATTAATATCGACAAAATTTCCGCTTAATAATACCAAAAAATTCGATAATGTTCCAAAAAAATTCCGCGAATTCCTTCCAATTATATTCCTAAAAATAACCATGCGCTTGCCAAACCATTAGCTTTAAAATTACGAAATACATTTAAAAAAAAGGGCCATTTTTAATTAAAAGCTTATATATAATTTTAACGAAAAAAAATTTAGCGTTTTAAAACCATAGCTTACCAAAAACCTTAAAGTAAAACGAATGTACGAAAAAAAAAAACGATCGAAATACCGTTAATGTTCGCTAAAAAAAAAACCTAAAAAATCCGTTACGCCCAATTATCGATTACCGCAATATTAACGGCAAAACAATCCCGGAATAATGCCCGATCCCGTTAATAACAAAGCTTTAAAACCGCTTCCGTAACGCCAAATAAATAACCAAAATTAATTTTAAAACCGGCTTTTATTTAATCCGAATAAAACCAAAATACGAATAAAAAATAACGTTCCGTTGCAAATATAGCCTTTTTAAATTTACCTTTATGCTTATAAGCCTTATTAATGCATTAACCACTTTTTAACGAATAATAAACTATATATTTTTGAACTTTATTAACGCCGGCCTTTTAATTTACTTCGATAACCTCTTTATTTACGCAAAAACAAAGGAAAAATATAACGACCTCGTTAAAAAAATACTAAAGCGCTTTACCAAATATAACCTTGCCGTTAACCCCCGCAAATGCGTTTAGGAAACCCAAAAAGTCGAATTTTTAAAATACGTTATCGGCCCGAAAAAAATCCGAATGTTCCAAAACAAAATAAACGCAATCCTTAATTAAAAAGCGCCCAAACAATTAAAAAAATGCCAATCGCTAATCGGGTTTGCCAATTTTTACCAACGTTTTATTGCCGGATTTTCCAAAATCGTTAAACCTTTAACGATAGCCAATGCCCTTTTAAAAAAGGACTAAACATGGACAGCAAAAATGCAAACCGCTTTTAAAGCCTTAAAACAAGCATTTACCTTACTATTTATCCTGTAGCACTTTAACCCCACGCTACAAGCAATTATAAAAACTAACGCTTCCAATTTCGCCCTAGCCGCAATATTGTCCCAACGCGACCTTATTAACGGCAAGCTCTACTTTATAGCCTTCCATTCCCGTAAAATAATACCAACAAAAATCAATTACAAAATTTACAACAAAAAGTTACTCGTTATCGTAAATAGCTTTAGCAAATGGAAGCATTACTTCGAAAGGGCCCAATATAGGATTAAAATCTTTACGAACCACCAAAACCTAGCTTACTTTATTACGGCCAAAATCCTTAACCAAAAATAGGCAAAATGGGCTTAACAACTTTTAAATTATTAATTCCTAATTATATACCGTTTAAACAAATAAAATGAAAAGGCCAATGTGCTTTCCAAACTCGAACAATACAAATTTAAAAAAAAGGGAATAAAAACCAGCCAATTACAACGGTTTTTTAAAAAAACATTTTAACCCCTTTTTACAAATACCTTTATTTTTCCTAACCTCGGCAAAATTGTACAGCATCCCAACCATGCGCTGGAATCCGGCATTTACAAATAGAATTAAGCAAACCGCCATATCCGATACCGAATACCAAAAGCATTTAAAAACTCCCTACAAAAGGAAAAAAATTAGCGACGGGCTTTTGTACTACCGCAACAAATTATAAGTTTTAGCATAGCTAAAATTTAAACGCAAAATCTTAAAATCCAAGCACGATATTAAAATCGCCGGATACATAAGCATGGACAAAACCTTAAAGTTAATTACCCGTTATTTTTAATGGCCAAGCATTAAAAAAAACGTTCGAAATTACGTAAAAAGCTATTTTAAGTGCTAATGCAATAAAGCATTTAAATACGCTCCTTTCGGGCTATTCTAACCCATAAAATTGCATTACCGCCTTTAAAACACTATCGCTATAAACTTTATTACAAATTTACCGGACAGCCAAAGCTACGACTCCATTTAGGTTATAATAAACCCATTTACCAAAATGAGCCACTTTATTTTTTTAAAAAAAGGACAAAAAAAAATAAATAACCTTATCCGCATTTTTGCCCGAAAATATTAAAAATTTTACGGAATTTTATTAAATATTATTTTAAATTAAAACTTACAATTTATTGCACATTTATAGCAAAATTTTTTTAATTTCGTAAAAATTAAACCCCGAATAAGCATTGCTTTCCACCCGCAAACAAACGGGCAAATTAAACGATTTAACCAAAATTTCGAAGCTTATTTACGATTTTTTATTAATTATAAAATGTTTAATTGGGTAAATTTGCTACTAATGGCAAAATTTGCTTATAACAATACTTCGTTAGCAAGTATTACAATTTCCCCATTTTTCGTTAATTACGGGTTCGAACCAGCCGCATACAACCCCCTAAAGCCAAAACGCACAAAGCTTTATCCCGTTAACAAACTTTACGCCCATTAAATGTACGGCATTTACGATAAAACCAAGCAATATTTTAACGCCGCCCAAAAACGAATAAAAAAATGGGCAAATAAAAAGCGACAAACCCTGCCCGTTTTTACGAAAAAACAATACGTTATGCTAAACGCCAAAAACATTAAAACCTAACGCTTTATTAAAAAGTTCGATTTTAAACTTTTCGGCCCTTTCCAAATTACCCAAATCGTTTCGCTTTTTGCAATTCGATTCGCATTTTTACCTTTATAAAAAATCCATTTTATTTTCCACGCATCCTTTATCGAGCCATACCGGGCCAGCATTTAAATACGGCTTAACCCAAAGCAAATTTTAAAAAACGCATTACCTTTGCTGGATATATTTAAAATAAAAAAATTAAAAATTTTTGTTAAAAAAAAGGTTTAATGCAATACTTCGTTAAATGGCTAAGCTTTAAAAAAAAAGGGCGAAATAATATAAAAGCTATAAAAAAATTTTAAAAAAAAGCGGCCAAAAAAAAGGTTAGGGATTTCCATCGCCGACACCTTCGAAAGGCCCGGGACTTACGCGTTTAAAGCCCGGGGCGTGCCCTTAAAAAAAAGGGGATTGTATTATACGAGGATTAAGCCGGCGACCCAGTAGGACCGATTGGACGGCCAACAAAACGAGTTACAAAATAGCGATAAGGAACTGGGCGTTGGTTGGGCCGGCTGGAAGGGTTACAAAAACCCCGCATGCATTACGCGCCCGGTCGAAGGGAGGTTTGTTCCCCTCGACCCCAAGTACATACCCTTTTCGTAAGGACCAAATGGCTTATAAAAGGAAGGCTCATCCTCAAGGTCTTTACTGGAGATTCTGCTTTTTTAAGCATCTCCTAAAGGCCTTAAAGAATTATCAATATATTGAGCACTTTCCAAGCCGATCCCAGATCCCCTTGTAACATCCCATGTAGGAAGACTTTTTTACTTTAGCGATGCATGCAGATGGCTTGCCTGGTATAGAAACCCTTGCACGCCCCTCACAAAAAAGATAAGCAGTCCTACATAAACAATAGAAAGGCCCCGAGAACTAGATTTGTTAGTGCTGTAAACAGTTCCTTTAAGGGATAGGAATAAAAGCGGGGATAACAGCAAGAACGGCAACAAGAAGAATAAGGATAAGAAAGCCTACGGCACTGGCCCCTAGACCCACGACCACGACCGGGATCGTGAGTTCAACTCGTGCAAAAAGCTACGGCCGCTTTAAAGACCGTGCAATACGGGGAATTGAACTTGTGGCTTGACGAACTGACGCGATTAACATGGGAGAACATCGCTCGTCATTTAGATATATGTAAATTTGCTGGTGGGACGGTGCGCGGCAGTGATCGCACGTGTGCACAGATGATTCTGTGGCAAAATAGCTAGAGTCTGTCTGTGGCAGTATAGACGTCCCCTTAATAGTTTGTGTTGCACGGTAGCTCCACTATTTTAAGGTCAAATAGCAATACGCGCGGGGTAATATAGCACTCCCCTATCGAAATCTAGGTCGGCCAAGTTTTTGCTGTCGATGAGGCAGTACCTGCAAGGGTGGTTTGCCCTTGGGCCGAGGCACCCAGCCAGTTTTTGTTGACTTGGCATGTCGCCCGTGATGGCAGAGACGAAGGAGCAAACCATAGGAAGCTCATCTGAGTATCCAGGGCAGTCGCGCAAACTCTCGCCGTAGGCGTGAGAACACCGCTGAGCCGCGGCCCTCAATGTCACAAGGGTGCAGGGCAGGCTTGGAGGGTTATCTCTAGATTGAAGCTATTAATCTTTTTATAACCTCAAAAGATGCTTACGAGGAAGGAAGAGAACGAGGAGCGTTGGAAAAGGGAAAAGGGCTTATATTCGCGCGGAGGTGGCCCGTGCGTAAGCGGTTCGGGCACCTGGCCCGTGCGTTGGGCACGTTCGTGTGACACTCAAGGCCTGCAAGCCGAGCCGCTAACGACGGGATTTCCGCTGCCGACCTGCAATACATCCTAGACAATCTACGAGATAATCGCGATACTGCTAAGGCCGTACCTCGACGTCGCACCCCAGTCGAGGAGCTACACGAGACAGTTCCCGAAGCTCCTAGCGACACTCCCGAAGTCACGTTGCCTGTCACCGAAACCATTAAGACGGGCGCAACTCCGCCGAACTCGGCGGCGGCAATGGCGGAGGCGATGATGGTCCTCCTCCTGGCCGTGTTGCCGCGCCTGGCGGAGACGACCCTGGAGATGATGGCGGCGACTCTGATGATGATCCTCCGAAACGCAACAACAATGACGATCATGGCGTCCGTTTCCCTCGTGATCAGCGCGACCAACGCGACTCACGTGACCAGCGTCGCGATCGTGAGACTCGAGGCTACCGCCAACAAACCCTCGATATTAACGTATCAACCCGTCCACAGGGAGATCGTTTCCCTCTCAAGCGAGAGATGATCGGAGTTTTTGATCACTATCAAAAGGACCCAAAGAATCAAGGCACTCTCTTTAACTTAAAGCTGACAATCTTTACTGACGTCTACGCATTCACGGAGCGCATTGAGGCCCTGAGTCTTCGTGACGCCCATCAATGATTCTGGGAGCGTGTGCAAGCGCCTAATCACGCCCGCTTTGGAGTAAGGTGGGCGCGTGAAATCGGCCCTGGCGGCGAGAAGTGTGAAGTGGATAAGGTGTTCTCCACAGTAAAATATATAATGAGGTTGATAGCATCAAAATAGATCCTGAAACGGCATCGAGAAATACATGGATTTTACCACACACACCTATTCGACCACCCTACCCAACCATTCGCCACCATGTAAATACCTTTCCCCTTTACGCCAAACACCAGGGCGCAACAAATAGGGCCATGGTGAGTGGACGGTTACCGCAACGAAGATTGAGGGTCGTTCCAAAACAAAAACTAAGAATCCGACGCGCCCAACACGCTTGACCTTCTGGTCTGAGATTCCGATCCTCTGGTTTGAGACTCTGACCCTCTGGTCTGAGACCCCGGTCTAAGACCCCTGCTTGGTGGCCCACGCCCCAGTCCATTGCTGTAGTTGTCGAGCGGCGCCTTGCGGGGGCTTCGTGCCCTTCTTCGGCTACGAGTAGCAGCGGCGTGCTGGCGCTGCGGCACGAGCAGGCGCACCACGGCCTTGTGTCCCTTATGGGTAGCTAGGGACAGCGGTGTCTGTCCCTTATAGTCAGCCGATTCGGCGTCTGCGCCTCTCTGGAGCAGTAGCCGCACGATCGCCTCGTGCCCCTGCCTCGCCGCCCACGATAACGCCGTGCTGCCGTTGTTGTCCTTCGCCTCCCATTTGCAACCCCTCCCAAGCAAGAGCTTAACGACCCCCTCATGCCCCTTCATGGCGGCCCACAGCAGCGGCCTACGGCCGTACCTGTTCGTCGCTTCCAGGTCCGCGTTCTTCTCAAGCAGGAGCCCGACAACCGCCTCGTGCCCCATAATTGCGGCCAGGGATAGCGGCGTGTCGCCGTCCTTGTTCTTCGTCTATTCTGGACAAGATTGCGGGGGAACGGCAGTGGGAGAAGATGGAGCGTGAGGAGGCCGCCGGCGAGTTGGCGGAGCGGAAGCAGGTGCGGAGGACTCTGCAGGAATACAACAACGGATACCTGGACTGAGTGGGCGAGCAGCCGCATGTGTCGCCTTGGTGGCAGTAGTCGGTGCCGGGCTCGGTGAGCCCCTGCGCGGTCAAACGCTTTCTGCAAACGCTTCCTGCCTTCAATCAAGCCCGAAAAGATCGACAATTAATTCCACTTTAATTCTACTTAGTTTTTCGTCCTCGTTTAGAATGAGAAAGAGTTCTAGAAAAGAGCTTGTTGTAGCGCGAAGAAGGGAGAGAGAACTCCCGCGTATCCATCTATCCGTCTTTTCATCAATCTGTCTGGTGGGGAAGACCGCACACACGCCGGCCACAACGTGCAGCCAAGGATCGCTGCGGGGGGCTCCATGGCCAGCCTCACTGGCACCGCGCCTGCATGCTGCGCTCGAACAGAGAACGCAGATATCAAGCATGGAAATCTATACCGGACCAAACCTGCTCCTCAAACCCGCCCCCCTGCCTAGGTGCACCGCTGGAACCTCTGAGTTCCCTGGTTTTCGGCCGTGACGCTGGAATGGGTCATGACGCCGCAAAAGATGATAGCGCCGTTGACGTTGGCGTAGACGGTGCGGATCGGGGTGGCGCCGCCGGGCTGCTTTTCCGTCTTGACGTCCTTTTGCCAGTCGCCGTTCTTGCCGACCCAGTAGATGGGGTACTCGAGCAGGATGGACCCGGCCTTGTCGCAGTTGGTTACGCCGAAGCGGAGGTTGTCGCCGTTGAAGTAGCGGTGTGGGTCGCCGCTAATGCCCTCCTTCAGGCCGGCGACGCGGGCCTGCGACTGGGCGCGGGCCACGTCGACCCGGTAGGGCTTGACGGTGTTCGTGCCGGCGAGCGTGGGGCGGCAGGTGACGAACTGTTGATGCCGAGGGAAGAAAGGGTTCGGGGTCAGTCTCGGGGCAGGATAAACAACGGCAAGCGTCTTCTATGGGGTGGGCTCGAGAGGGGACATACCGGAGCGCGAGCCTCTATCTTGGTGGGGGCAACATCCTCAGGGAGAGGCCCCGCGAGGGCAGGGACGGCGAACGCGGCCGTAGTAGCGACGAGGGCGGAAAGGAAGTGCATTGTGATGGGCAGAGCGTTTGTTGAACTTTGCTTGCTCGGTTCCTGTTTGTTCGGCTTGGGGCTGGTGAGCAGGAAGCTGGTGGTTGTGTTTAGAGCGGACGCTTCACAGTTTATGTACTCGAAATCTATGCCGTTTGTTGATTTGCTTCCTCGTCCGGCATCGCGGCAAGGTGAGCACCGGAAAGCTTTACGACGGCTTATTCTGGCTGACGAACCCCTTTTCTTGTTCCCGTGATGACTTGTGCACGCTACCGATGCAGTGCTACTCTCCCGATATTGCGATTACGCTTTCCGGGCCGCCCGAGGCGATATCTCAGGCTGGTTGGACCGGTCGTATAAAAGCTGCGCGTTGGCGGGACGAACTAGACGAGGCAGTGTCAGTTGGTCGGTGAAGGGATATAAAAGCGATCCAAAGTGAGCCCCAGTTGCTTAAATGGGAAGGTCAGCCACGGCTGCAATGCAGGTTCCAGCCCTGTATACCCGGTAGGTGGTACCCAACCAACCAAAGCTGTGCCGTCTACGAGCTAACGCGAGGGCTTAGGGAGGCTCCTGCACCACGCTCAACCCATTGGCCAGCTGCGGCACATCTGTTTCGTATATACATCCTCGCGCAACCTATGGGAGCTGTTTGCACAAGGTTGATTAATGTGAACTCCCCTGGGGCTATGGCTGTGGCTGTGGTTGGTTGGTCTCGGCCAAAATATAAGCTTCCCCACGTAGTGCAAGCGTATCCCTAGAGTTGGAAGCTGGGGGATCCCTCTGAAGAGCACTCATTGGCCGTACAGAACGCCGCGCTTATGGGCGTCATGGTACGAGGCCGTTCCACCAGCTTCTTGTGGGCTGTTGCGCGTCTGACTAAGCCTGCCGCCAAAATTGCTACATACAGGCTGACGGCGGACGCTCCCTCTTCCAATGTTTCCTCGTTTTTATTGGTTGGCCTCGAGGCGGATCTGCCCGGCAGCCCCGGCTAATGCGGCCCACTTTGGGGGAGGTCCTTTGGGGTAGGGGCATCTAGGCTTCACTGAGGTGGTGGCTGCCAATCGGGAACTACAAGCCGCGTACACAGTCGCCAGGCAGACGCTTTGGGGCCACAAACCGCGGGGAACCAACAGCCGGAGCTGCAGCTGAGCAAAGGACGCACCCACGTCGGAACCACCCGACGTCGAGCTCATTACCTCCCTCGTTTGCCTCGCCATCGACAACTGCCCGCCGTCTACCTCACTATCCCCTCTGCTCTGTCCTCGTTCTTCTTCACACATACCCAAGCCATCTATCTGAATTCTGACCCTGGTCGACAATGGCGCCACAAGACCTCCCAGCAGCCTCTCGCGCTTTCGAGTCTCACCTCTTTGATGAGCATGACGACGCCGACGACCTGGCGTACAAGCGCATCCTAGACGCCCTCCTCAAGCAGACGGCCACCCCGTCCCAGGCCGCGGCGGACATGGACGCTCTAGTCACCGGAGAAGCCAAGAAAAAGCTAGAGGCGCTTGAGCAGCGAACCCCTCCGTTCCAACTCACCTCGGAGGAGCAGGAGCAGGGGCTGACTCCGCGCCTGGTGGGCCCCAACCCCGAGATGTGGATCGAGATGATCACCACGTCCATCGCCAAGGTGTCGTCGGCTTTCCCACCCGCTCACCCGGCCCAGGACGCACTGGTCGAGTTCCTGCGCGAGCTCAGGGACATGCCCAAGCACGAAGTGCCCAGCGGCGACTACACCAGAGATGACCCAGTAGTCCATGCCCAGACTTTTACACTGTGGCCCTTTGGAGAAGATTCGGTCGGCTATCTCGCCGAGAAGTTCCGCAGGGAAGCCGAAGGTATGTTGTTTTTCTTCCCACGCCGACCTGAGGCAATGATGGCTCCCTCCACTGGACTAACGAACAAAACAAAACAAAAACAGACATCGCCTATCCGTTCTCCCACGTAGAGACGCTCGAGAGCGAGACGCAGCTGCGGTGGAGCAACCTCCAGTCCTTCATCACGCGCCTGACCGTCTCGGGCCTGATCGACTGCAGCCACGTCAGCGCCCTCGCCAACCTCCTGCCCTCGTCCCCGACCTACCCGGACCTTGCGGCGCGCAAGGCCGGCGGCCCCCGCAGGCTCGCCGGCGACCTCTTCGCGGCCTCGCACTGGCTAGCCGACGATGGGGCGCGCCGCTGGGTCTACGAGCGGTGCATGGCGACCGAGGCTCCGGGCGACGGCGAGAGCGCCTTTGCGTGGAGCAAGCGGAGCTGGGCCGACTGGAAGAGCCAGCTCGCGGCCCTGGCGGACATTGACGGGTTCCCGGCCGAGGCGCGCGATCTGGCACTCCTGCTGAGGACAAAGATGGAGACGGAGAAGTAGGTAGGCTCCTACCGTGCGCTTAGAGCTGTGTGGCTGTCGGGGGGGGACCGTGGTCTCTAGTGACTGGCTGTCGCCTCGGCTTGCTATGCCCCTGTGCTACGCAAACAATACAGAGCAATGTTTTTTTGGCAGCCGGCAAGGCAAGGAAAGTAAAGGAGCATAGGTTGAGATTTTTTTTTTCATCTTTCACGCTCCATGCATCATCCCTTGACTGACGACGGCTTCATGTGACGCTGCCTACCTACGTACCCGCCTCCGTCGGCATCCACCTCTCTTACAGGTGCTTGCGTGACGGGCCAGAATGACCCCTATGATCGGGGACAGCCCTATCAAATGAGCACGCACGGAACCAATCTTTCACAAGCGGGGAACAGGTCAAATGTGGTGCAGATACATCGCGTCGACAAGAAGAAGCCGATTCGGATCTTGTCATGGTATTACACTCCAACTACGGCTTCTCGTCTGCATAAGGCACGAGGGCCTTGCCTCCTAGGACGTCCTTGTAGAAGTCCTTGACCGTTATCGGCTCGATGTCCGGGTAGAGTTTACGGCTATCGAGATAGCCCAGGTAGTCGGCCACATCGGGCACGCTGTCGCCGCGGACGCCCATCGAGTACCAGTACTCGACGCACGTGAGCGTCGTGATGGCCTCCTCGCTGTCCGGGTCCTTGGCCAGCGCGTCCTTGGCCTGAGCCATGGTCTCCTCCATCTGCTCCTTTGTGAACTGCGGGCAGGCCGGAAGGGGGGGCTGTCAGCAGGTGCGACATCATTACGGATATTCGCTTGCCGGAAAATAAAAAAAGACTTACAAAGGTCCGCTCCACCTTCTCGCCGCTGAGCTCCTCGAGCGCGTCGACGACCTGGTGCGAGCTGAGAACCTGGTCGTACACGTGCACGTGCTTGTTCAGCGTCCGCGGGTCCGCCAGGATCCTGGCCGCGTGGGGCCCGATGGAGTGGATGTCGGAAAAGGCGATGGGCGTGCTGCCGTCGCCCCAGAGCCGCGCGTCGTCCATGGGCGGCACGACGATGTAGTCGGTGCGGCCCGAGGGCACGCGGTACGGCAGGTTCTGGTACCACCAGGCCACGTCGACGACGGTGTAGGGCAGGCGCCGCAGCCGGATGTGGTTCACGATCTCCTCCTTCTTCTCCCGCATCCCCATCACCCCGTAGGCCGGCATCACGGGCGCGAAGTTGTTGGGCACGAACCGCCTGACCCCGGCCTCCTTGCACACGTCGACGAGCGCCTTGGCCTTGTCCAGCTCGAAGAAGTTGGCCGGCGCGATGACGACGTCGGCGTCCCGGAGGAGCTCGACCGCCTCCCCGCGCTGGCCTTCGGCGTCGAGGCCGACGACCTTGACGCCCCTCTTGCTGTACTCGACGTTCTCGGGCTTGTCCACGCTGCTGGGGCGGCTGATGGCCGTGATGTCCTGTGGGTGCGTCGTTTAGTTGGAGTTCTGGGTCGCCATCTGTAAGAAGTGGTGGGGCTCACAAAGTTTGTGGGCGACTTGATCATGCCATCGATGATCTGCTGGGCGGTATTCCCTGTGCCGCCGAAGACGAAGACTTTGATGGGGGACGACATGATGACGGCAGGGCCTTTGCTTTCGTGTTGGGTTATGCGGTCATCAGAGTGGCTGATTCATTGCTGCTGTCCAGCTTGATCGATGGGTGACGGGTTGCCAACATTTATAATCACCGTCGCCGGGCTCCGCGGCCTCTCGGAGACAAACCCCGCGGCGCCGCGAGTAATCGGCAGTCGAATGCTGGAAATGGACATTATAACGAGGGTCTGCGACAAGGGGTGCATGTTGCATGCTGGCGGGGGGGACGGGTTCAGCACGGTCTGTGCTCGCGGACATGGTGCGGGCCGAGTCGCGGGTAGGGACCGGGCTTTTGTAGGGCTGATGCGCTAGGTTATTAGCAGGGGTGTAGTGCTAGACATCTGGCTTCGTAAAGATTCCAACACATTCACTTGACACATTACTGGGGCAATTTTTCCAATAAACAGGCTTGCCATTTTGTATCTATGCTAACAGTATGAAGGAAAAAATGAGGGATAACTCGGCATAAAGCAAGATTGGTCCCAAAAAAGGGAGGGAAAAAAGCACTATCATGACGGCAGGTACGAAGACACCTCGTAGGTCCTCTTGCACACCTCGCGGGTGGCTTGGGCACCACGATGCGCCACACGTGCGCTTCGTCCTCTCCAAGATACTCCCATCTCTTTCTTTGCCCTTCCCGCCTCCGGTTGGGTATGTAGGACTCGATGAAGGCGTAGTTAATATGGCCCTGCTCGCCGTTAACCTTGGCTGCGGCGCCGTTCGTCTTGGAGCTCTTTGCCTTGACCTGTCCCTTAGCACTGGCTGCCGTGGCCGCGGCCGCGGCCGTGCTGGCAAAACGACGCAGCGGGCTGGAAAAAGTGTCTCTGATGGCGCCCGTCATACCGCCAGCTCTCTCGAGCTCGACCTTCACTCTGCCCCAGAAGCCGTCGAGCGCAACCTCGGCGCGTCGGACCTGCTCAGCTGCGGCCTCAACCGCGGCCTTGTGTGAAAGGTCAACGACAAGCGGGTAGTCAAATCGGCCCTTCTCTGGGATGCCCATGGCTACGACGCCAGTGCGAAAAGTCGACGGCGGTTGTTAGCTGTGTGCTAAGCTGGGGTAAGCACAGCAGATGATATTACGTACCATCTTGTCCCTATGGTAGGTGATAAAACCGTTGAGGGTTCGGCTGACGTGGGACCAGGCGAAGTGGTTACTGGGGCGGAGAAGCACACAGATATCCAAGAAGAGCGCACATATATCCATAAAGAGCTCTAAAGAGAGGTCCAGGAGATTCGTGGGCGCCTTCGACAGCACCTCGAGGATCCTGGCTGTTACCCTCTTGTCGATCTTGGAGTGGAGTGACTGCCGCACCGGGATGGCTGCCGCGCTCTTGTCGATCTTGAAACGGAATGACTGCCGTACTAGCATGGCTTTCGTATCCACCAGATTTCGTATCATCGGTCTTGCCAGTAGCCTTGTTTTCTTCTGTACTCTTGGTTCCTGTGCTGACTGGCGTTTGCTGGTCTGAGGCCAGCATTTGCTGGGACTGATGTAGAAGGGAGGGTAAGAGCGCGAGCAAGAGGACCGCGAGGATGGGTGGAAGAAGCATTTCGGCTTATGGGTAGCAAAAGCTTGTCGATGAGAACTCTGGTTGTATCAACTGAAGCTGGCAAGGTATCATGAAATTGAGTGTTTTTTTTTTGAGACTCGACGGAAAGTCCAGAAAAAAATTATATCAGCTCTCAGGCCCTGTCTGGGCCTCTTCGGATGGCAGCTGCGGCTGCTGGAGGGCACCTTCCTTACGGCCGAGACTTGCTCGATGCCTCAGACCGAAGCCTACGGAAGATGCCCTACCAAAGCCGTCAATATCTCACCAAACGCCAATAATATTGAAGCCAACCTCCCTTATAATTGCACATAATTTTGCCTCACATCCACGTCCTCCATCTAGCAACGCCTCCACTTGAACGCAAGCTTCTCCGACGAGACCTCAAAGTTGCTGGTCCCCTTGTCTGGCAGAACGATCCTGAAGATGACGTTGGCGATGTGGCCATCGCTGGAGCACGCACTCCATAGGCCCTTGTCACCCGGGCTCGAGTGCACCTCGAGCGGCACGCTAATGGACGAGTCCTTGGTGTTCGTGAGGACACCATCGAGAGTTTGCTACAAGGGAGTCGCCCAGTCAGCCCGCGTTCTTGCTAGTCCCGAACCCCCGTCTCTGACCTATCCATCACCGCATCGAAACAGCACGGGTCCCAACATACGGTTTTCTCCGCGTCGGCCGAGAAGAAGACGGTGCTGTAGTACTCGAGCGACGCCTTGGGGGCCAGGCTGCCCTTGCCCTCGGCCCAGACGTCGGACAGCGCGAGCTGCCAGCCCTTGGAGCCGCTGCCGCGCGTCGAGATGTGGACCTGGCACGCCGACATGCGGCTGGTCTTGTCGGGCGCCGTCGAGGCCCGGAAGCGCCCGTCAAAGGTCAGCGTGATGGGCGCCTCGAGGCTGTTGCTGCCGTCCTCGGACGTCAGCTTGGGCGCGTGGCCCTGCGGGCAGCCGCTGCCCGAGAACTTGATGTCGGACCATCGCGGCGGCGCCTCGGCGTCGGCGTCGGCCGGGGACGGATGCGGAGACGGCGCCGCCGCTGCCAGGGGCGCGAGCGCGGCGAGCAGCGCGGCGAGGCGGGCGAGGGGCGTCATGGCTGCGGCACTGATGCGGGGCCTGGATACCGAGCAGGAAATAAAAGGGCAAGGTGAGTGAAGAGCGTTTTGCTAATTGCTAATTGTGTCTACAACGCAGTCGTACTGGTGATGGGTCAGGTAATATCTGGATATAATCTAGGAGCTGGGTCGGCTCGCGTTCTTATAGACGATAGCACAGTCGGGCGGGGAAGCCAGTTACACATAGCCTGGTCTCGCTAACACGCCATAGGTACTAGATCTTTTCACACGATATCGGTCTCGCCTCACTCCCTTTCCTCCGGCTCCCGGCTGGGGCACGATCAGGATTTTCTTGGTGTCAGGAATTTGCCATCTGCACTGGCATCATGGTGCTGTTCAGCTGTGTGGATGATCCGAAAAGGGCAATTTTGCCTGCCGATGTCCGTTGCTGCTGCTCTGGTTCGCCCAATCCCTGGGCCTGTTTCTGCCATTTATCCAAATTGCCTGGAAGAACAGCATCCCCAAACTAACCCGCTACCAAAAGATGAACCGGGCCCAGGCTAGGCCCATCCTGTCACTTCCGGGTCGCCCTTTCTCCGGCGCCGTCCCCTGGCCGTCCCCAATAAGGCTCTACCCGCGGCCTGGGTCGCCGCGGAGGGACGTCGCCATGGGATGCAACCGAGTCAAAAATAGCTGACGTCTCTCCCTTGGTTGGGCTTGTTTATTTTCTCCAATTCTACCGTTCGGTCGGAGAATTGGGATGGAACTACCTACTTGAACCAGTGCCTTTTTGTCCACCTTGGGACCCACTGACTTCCTCGACTGACAGCAGCCGAAAGTTGGGCGACAGGGGCAGGACGCAGACAGACACTCCAATTCAATCTAAAATAAATGAAGGCCAGCGGTGATCGTGGTTCCACACCTCGTCTGCGAACCTCCCAAGACGGGTACAGTCGTCCAGTACCTGGAAGAATACGGCCCGATCACTTATTGCAAAGATAAGTGTTGCGCCTCCACGCACATCTCTACTCTACCACGATATGCGTCCGCCGAGCCCTCAAGCCGCGATGGGCAGTCTAGATATCGTTTCAGCCTTGGCGCCCGCCGTCTGCTCTTCCTCATCTCACCGGGATGCTACGCAGGTCGTTTTTGCCGTCTGTCTGCCCCCGAGTCTGGATTTCTTGGGCGGCGAAACCAACTCCAGGTGGCAAATCGGAGGATACCGGGTGGTTTGTTACCGTGGTTATGTATGAGCTGAGCATCTCCCTGAGGTTCGAGAAGTCGTGTTTCCAAAGATAGCCCTCCAGGACCAAGGATCCGGCGACGGAACTGCTGCAAGGGCAATCTACCACTGGAGCTCCAGCGTCGTAGTGACAGCAACCCTGGAGGGCCAATCCGAGTCGTGTCAGCGATGGCGATACCGGGTGGCGTCACGGTGGCGAGGGTTCCTTGTCGTAAAGTACAGTATTTCATTATTGCCAAGTCTGAAAGATCTAGTCTAGGCTGTCCTCTTGAACTAAACGCGCCAAGTCATATCACCAACACATTTTTTTACACTAGAAATGGGGTAAAGGTCTCTCGAGCGGGCAAAGGGCCTACACTCCAATCTTCTAGAAAAGACGTGCCCGCATCTATCCGAAAGAAAGAAGGCAGAAAGAAACAAAGGAGAATGACGAGACGTAACAAAGTAGGCGGCGCAAAGCAGGCATGCACCTCATCACTGAGGCCGCACGGCGCCGGCCTCGTACGCACCCCAGCGCGAGTGTATGAACTGGCGCACGTTGCGGCCCCAAAAGGCCACGGGCACCGCGACGAGCCCCAGCACCAGCACGATGGCGGCGATCTGGAGGTTCGCGCCCGCGAAGCCCTGGGACGCGATCCAGGGCGGGATGGCGAAGCTGAGGCCGAAGCTGAGCACGTAGGTGACGCCGCCCACGACGGCGAGGGCGGCGGCGGCCCAGCGCGGGAAGACGGCGGCGGCCCAGACGGTGTTTGCGACGCCGCCGCTGGCGTACGAGAAGCTGTTGAGCCCGTAGGACGCGTAGATGCAGGCCGGATGCCAGCCGTGGCGCACGGCGAGGCCGTAGAGAACCAGGCTCAGCACGCCCGTGCTGACGGGCAGGGCGAAGCCGAGGAGGTAGTACTCGGCGTGGCGGACGCCGCGGCCCTTGCGGCGCGTGAGGCGGTTCGTCAGGCGCTCGATGACGAGCCCGGACCCGGGCCAGGCGAGCAGGCTGCCGAGCGCGGCGGCCAGGTTGACGAGCGACACGGACCGGGGCTCGAGGCTGTAAGGGGGAGCCATGAGGACGGCCGGGTAGGTGGAGCCGATGGAGACCATGCCGGCGAAGTTGACGGCGTTTAGGAGCGCGACCCAGAACAGGAGCGGGTTGACCAGGCACAGGCCCGTCTGCGGGAAGAAGGCGAGCGCGGACCGCCAGTCGCCACCGGCCGCCTTGTGCACCGACATGTGCCTCTCCGCCCACGAGGGCGCGCTGTAGCGGTTGCCGCCGCCCGAGGGCCCGCGCAGCTGGGCGTTGCGCGCGAGGGAGGGCATGAGGGGTGTGGGTGTGAGTGGCGTCAGCGAGGCGAACGAGCCGGCATGTGAGGGCGAGCGGGTGACGGCGAGCGAGCCGTTGTGGGAGGGCGAGCGGACGAGGGTGAGGGCCACGGCGGCGCGCCCGGGGGTGGTCGGCTCCGCCATGGCAGCAGTAGCAACACTAACCCCGAGGCCGTACTCGTCGTCGCCGCTGCCGTCGCTGCTGCCACGCTTACTGCCGCCGCCGTAGACGGCATCCTCGGGCGCGGCGGGCCGCCCGCCGGGGACCTGGTCCCAGTCGTCGTACATGCGGACCTTCTCGGAGCCGCCCTGAACGAGGATGCGGCCGTCGAGGGCGACGGGCGGGCGCAGGAAGTAGGTCTCGGGCACGAAGAGCCAGACGAGCACAAAGAGGACGGCTGAGGGGACGGCCCAGGCGCGGTAGATAGGCCGCCAATAGGTCGAGACGTCGTTGGTCAGGGGCACGAGGCTGATGAGCAGCTGCGTGATGAAGGTGGCGACGCCCCAGTCGGCCGCGATGGCGTTGGAGCGCTGGTGGATGAAGGTGACGTCGATGAGGACCAGGAGACCCTGTCAAACCGGAGGGTCAGCAGGTTAAGGGCGGTCATGTGAAGCAAACAGCTGGCCAAACGACATACCGTGCTAAACGCCACTCCGTTGGCAAGGCCCAGGAGGGCGATGGAGATGATGTACATGGCAAAAGATGTGGACATGCCGCTGAGTAGAGTGGCAACCGGCATCAAACCGGCGCACAGGATCAGGACGGGGCGGCGGCCGAGCCAGAGCGACATGGGCGTCCATATCAGGCACCCGATGCCCATGAAGAGCGTTGGAACAGCGTCGACGTGGTTCATCGTAAAGGGGCCCCAGGTCTGTTGTCAACATGGGCAATCAGTCTCCCACCTTTTCAACTCAGCCGTGAGCAAGTAAGGACCAGGAGGAGTCTTTTTTTCTTACCGCCTCGCCCATCTCCTTGATCAAGGCCCTGACGATCAGGGACGGGAACTGCTGGACCGCGACGCCGATGGCGGCCATGGCCGTGATGAGCGAGATGATGCGGCATCGCTTCAGCAGACTCCAGCCGAGGGGGTCGTGGGGCGAGCTGCTGGGGATGGGGAGGCTGAGAAGGTGGCCGTCCCCGGAGACAAGGTAGACACTCCCGGGGCTGTTGTCCTCCTGCTCAGCGGCCGAGGTCCTGCTGGGTGTCCTGGTAGGCATCTTGCGGTGGATCTTCGCTCAAAGGCGGAATGGGAAGGGGAGGGGGGAGGTGGGCGCTGTGAGCTAGACACGGGAGGGCTCGGGGATGGTGAGAGGCATTGGGTTGTATATGAAGTCGGTGGGTATGACGGTCGGCAAAGCGCTCTGCCAGGGAGGGAGTGCCGGTGGCGATCTTGAGGCTATTGGCCATGTTTGGTTGAGCTGCCGGTCATCCCATCACCTTGAATGGTGGGAGCTCCTCCTGCCCGCACAGGCATACCGTTGTCAAGATCGACGATGTGTGTACAGGTTTCAGGGATCAGAATTGTTAGTGCGGTGGATCAACCAGGGGGGGTAACAGGGGGAGTAAGGGTACACAGGGTGCCACACAATTTGTAGTAGAGATCAATGTATGTTGATATCTTATCTGTGGGTGACGATTCTATGTAGTGCGTTCTGGCAAATGGAGGTGCGGGGGTAGCGATACATCAATCTGGCGGGATTTTTTATGGTGGAAAATGTATCTGGGTATGTAGCCTAATTAGGAAGGATCCACGGCACTAACAATTCTAATCCCTGGAACCCGTATGTGCATAGGTGGTAGGGCGTATCTACACTGCGGGGGTGGTTCTTCCTCTCCAGGCGTTCGAGTTGGCCTCGAGCCACCAACACACGTCTTCGCAGCTCTTTTTAAGCTTTCGGCCCGCGACCCACCCGCCACAACCACCCCGCGCCGACTGTTTCGTCTTCGCTGCTGGCTGGAGCTGCTCGACAGCATCACTTCGTTTCCCCTTCTGTAGTAGCGCGCCCTGTGCTCCCTGCAGCGTGCCATCGAACAATTGGAATTGGATGGGCGGCGACTCCCTCCACGGCACCTCTGCTGCTCAACACAACCGTGGCAACCACATCGGGGTTGAATCGGCCATTGGCTTCACCGCTTTGTGGTCGTTAAGGTTCTTTTTCGGAGTTTCATCGCGACATTTCTCAATATCTCGGGGACATACAAACCCCCTCCCAGCAGGCGAAAATGACACGCTCCTCCTGCAGACTGGACCCTGCCTTTTTTTTTTGTTTTTGCCTGCGGATCTAGGTTTCGTTCGACCCC